AGTATTGGATTCACATTGAGCCGTGTCAGAAGTCATAGGTGGTGGGTTCACAGGTGCGGGGAAGGAGGGGAAGGGTTTGTAAAGATGTTATAATTGTACAGTTTCTGTTGGTTAATGGACTGTTTGTATTTGATTTTTGTTTGTCTATTATATACAATAAAATTAAAACTTTAATCTTAAAAAAAGAAAAAGATTGGAAACTTCACTTACATTGAGGGGAGGTGTGGAAATGGAGACTAATGCATTTTGTTGCTTGCTCAGAGGGGAAGGTGCCCTCTTGCAAACCCTGAGTAATGGGCTACAAACCTGTCTGTGGCCCAAAGAGGTTCAGCCTATTTTAATTTCAGCCCCTCACTACAGTCAGGTCGTGCAGTCCCGGTTGATCTAATCAAGATGAGCTTTGCCAGGGATGCAATTATAAGAGCTTGAGAATGAGAGAGAGAGAAAGGACAGAGTTTCTCACATATTTGTCTTCCAAGAGTTTAATGGGACACTAGTTAACGTTCTTAGAGGGAATAACAACAACGTTAATAATAATCATGATGATGATGATGCTCTGATCCATTAGAGCTAACTTAATAATGCATGTAATTATGCACGTTGGTGAAGAAGTTAACAGATATAAACACTCCTCTTATCATGGTCACAGTTCTTATCACAGTTTACCATTTCAGTTCTCATTAGCAGGGTTTAATTACAGTTCATGAATTCTTCACCACCTTCTTGTAGTTTTTCCAGGCCTCATCTTAGAATGGTATCTCCAAAATTATTAGCTCTTATTCATTCATTCCTTTCATTCAGTTCATTCATATCCACATGTATCAAATCTGCACATCATTTTTTGTGACAGACTACCATGGCCAAGTCAGGTGTCTCAAAATATGGGTACACCTGACGCACAAGTTTTAACTGTGTGAAGGTGCTCCTGGCCACCGCAGATACCTGAGCTTCCAGGGTCAGCAATGAATCCAGGATCACCCCCAGGCTGCAAACCTGTGTCTTGGGGGGGGGGTGACCCCCATCCAACACAGGTTGTAATCCCACACTCCTGGGTCCCCCCCCCCCCCCCCAGAAAAGATTGGAGCCACTGCAGAACAGTGCCCCCAAGCCCCATCCCCAAGAGACAGACCAGAAGGATACCATGCTCGATGGTATGAAAAACTGCCAAGAGGTCCAGGAGAACCAGCAGGAACACACTTCCCCCATCTAGCTCTTTTTGTAGGTCATCCACCAAGGTGACCAATGCTGTTTCAGTTCCAGAAACCAGATTGAAATGGATCCAGATAATCAATTTCATCCAAGAAACTTTGGAGTCATGAGGCCACCACCTTCTCTAGAACCTTGCCCCAAAAGGGGAGATTTGACACTGGCTGGTAGTTGTTCAGTTGAGTTGAATGGGGTCCAGTACTGGTTTCTTTAAAGTGATCTTACCACTGCCTTCTTGAATCTGATTGGCATTATGCCTTGGGTCAAGGAGGCATTCACCAGCACTTTTACCCACTCCGCCAATCCTCCCCGGATGATTTTACAAGCCAGGACGGGCACGGGGCCAGAAAACAAGTGGTTGGTCTCATTCCTCTCTAAGATCTTGTCCACATCCTCGAGCCAAAAACAGCTGAAAAGAATCCATTAAACAAGGACAAGCAAGTGTCTCAGTCACATTCACGGAGACTGCATTAATACTGGCGTCTAAGTCAGTATCTGCAAAGACTCTATCTGCAAAGAACTTTGCAAACTCTTCTCAATGAACTGCTGATTGGTCAGGGGTCCCCAGGTGAACAGGGTTTAGAAGCATCCTGACTACTTGAAACAGTTCTCTTGAGCGGTTCTTTGCAGATGCAATGTTTGCAGCAATGAACCATTTTTTGCCACATTCATTGCTGTGGAATAGGCTCTTAAATAATCTTTAGACCAATGGTTCTCAACCTGGGATCCCCAGATGTTTTTGGCCAACTCCCAGAAATCCTGGCAAACTGGCTGGGATTTCTGGGAGTTGTAGGCCAAAAACATCTGGGGACGCCAGGTTGAGAACCACTGCTCTAGACCGTGCTTGGTTGGACTCACATTCTCTCCTGACGTTTTGCCTGCATCTGTGGCTAATGGCATCTTCAGAGGTCTGTTGGAAGTGAGGCAAGTGGAGTGAATATATATCTCTGGAATGTCCACGGTGGGAGAACGAACTTACGCAGGAAATGTTTTGGCTCTAAGGTGCGTTTTCCAAAGCATCGTAAAATCCACATGGTTGAGAAAGCTCAGAAATTCCAAGGAAAAGTTTTGCTCAGGAAGCAGATATTATGACCAACCAGCAAATCCATACAGCCGTTTCAAAATATTTTGTTACAGAGCATGCATCTACATTGTCAGATTAATGCAGTTTGACACCACTTTGGTAGCTGTAACCTGACATGCCAGTGAAGGCGAAAGACCTCGTGAAACTAAAACTCCCAGGACCTCTAAAGGCCTTAATCCAACCATGTGTAGGATTGAATGAATACACACACACGCACACACTTTATGCTATTAAAACCAGTGCCTTAAGTTTTAGTTGACAGGAATGAAGGGATGTTTATGTAATGGAAATATTATGGGATTATTTTTTTATTGGATTCTTTGGCTTTGTTTCCTTAATTTCTTGTGAAAATCTTAATAAAATCTCTATACCGGTAAATAAAAATTGAATGTTCGTTTGTGGGATTAACATAACTCAAGAACCACTGGATGTATTGATACCAAATTTGGCCACAAGACCCCTACTAACCCAAGGAGTGACCATCACTCAAAAAATATTAATTTTTCATTCGGGAGTTGTAGTTGCTGGGATTTATAGTTCACCTACAATCAAAGAGCATTCTGAACTCCACCAATGATGGAATTGAACCAAATGTGGCACACAGGACTCCCATGACCAACAGAAAACACTAGAAGGGAGGGCCACATTACATTTTTATATATACAGAAGATTAGTATTATAATTAAATTCTTAATGATTTATTATTATTATTATTATTATTATTATTATTATTATTATTATTATTGTATTGTCAAAGGCTTTCATGGCCGGAATCACTGGGTTGTTGTAGGTTTTTCCGGGCTATATGGCCATGTTCTAGAGGCATTTTCTCCTGACGTTTCGCCTGCATCTATGGCAAGCATCCTCAGAGGTAGTGAGGTCTGTTGGAAGTAGGAAAATGGGTTTATATATCTGTGGAAAGACCAAGGTGGGACAAAGGACTTTTGTCTGCTGGAGCTAGGTGTGAATGTTTCAACTGACCACCTTGATTAGCATTAGCTACCAGTATTAAAAATCTTTTGTTGAGAGGTGTTAATATGTGCCTGGTTGTTTCCTCTCTGTTGTTTTGCTGTTGTAATTTTAGAGTTTTTTAATACTGGTAGCCAGATTTTGTTCATTTTCATGTTCTCTTCCTTTCTGTTGAAATTGTCCACATGCTTGTGGATTTCAATGGCTTCTCTGTGTAGTCTGACATGGTGGTTGTGAGAGTGGTCCAACATTTCTGTGTTCTCAAGTAATATGCTGTGTCCAGGTTGGTTCATCAGGTGCTCTGCTATGGCTGACTTCTCTGGTTGAAGTAGTCTGCAGTGCCTTTCATGTTCCTTGATTCGTGTTTGGGCAATGCTGCGTTTGGTGGTCCCTATGTAGACTTGTCCACAGCTGCATGGTATAAGGTAGACTCCTGCAGAGGTGAGAGGATCCCTCTTGTCCTTTGCTGAACGTAGCATTTGTTGGATTTTCTTGGTGGGTTTGTAGATTGTTTGTATGTTGTGTTTCCTCATCAGCTTCCCTATGCAGTCAGTGGTTCCCTTGATGAGTAAAGATGAAGATCCACCCAGAGGAAAAGTGTTCCTGCCATACATCAAGGGAACCACTGATCGCATAGGGAAGCTGATGAGGAAACACAACATACAATCTACAAACCCACCAAGAAAATCCAACAAATGCTACGTTCAGCAAAGGACAAGAGGGATCCTCTCACCTCTGCAGGAGTCTACCGTATACCATGCAGCTGTGGACAAGTCTACATAGGGACCACCAAACGCAGCAGCATTGCCCAAACACGAATCAAGGAACATGAAAGGCACTGCAGACTACTTCAACCAGAGAAGTCAGCCATAGCAGAGCACCTGATGAACCAGCCTGGACACAGCATATTATTTGAGAACACAGAAATGCTGGACCACACTAACAACCACCATGTCAGACTACACAGAGAAGCCATTGAAATCCACAAGCACGTGGACAATTTCAACAGAAAGGAAAAAACCATGAAAATGAACAAAATCTGGCTACCAGTATTAAAAAAACTCTAAAATTACAACAGCAAAACAGCAGAGGGGAAACAACCAGGCACAGCTTAACACCTCTCAACAAAAGATTTTCCCAGGCTCAGGCAGGCCTTCAAATGCCAATGAAGGTGGTCAGTTGGAACATTCCCACTTAGCTCCAGCAGGGAAGAGCTCTTTGTCCCACCCTGGTCTTTCCACAGATATATAAACCTATTGTCCTACTTCCAACAGACCTCACTACCTCTGAGGATGCTTGCCATAGATGCAGGCGAAACGTCAGGAGAGAATGCCTCTAGAACATGGCCATATAGCCCGGAAAAACCTACAACAATCCATTATTATTATTATTATTATTATTATTATTATTATTATTATTATTTGGAAAAAGCACCCCACGCTTTTTTGGAGTCCAAAACACCTGGAGGGAAGGCCCAAGTTGGCCCAGGCCTGCCCTGATAAGTAATTTCCAAAATTGACAATCACAATTACACTAGGACTGTCTGCACATCATAACAAACCATCCATACCCTGAGTGCAAGAATGCAATGCCACGATAGGATGAAAGAGCTGCCAGTCCTCCTCGCCGCCCAATCAGCGACCGGGCCCCGCCCCGCGTTGCTAAGGAGCTGTTTGGCTGAGTCTGCCACGTGCAAGGTAAACAACAAGGCTGGCTGGCCAATCAGAGAAAAGATGGACCGGAAGAGAGTTGTTGTGCCTCTTAGAAAAAGGGCCCTTCCGGTGGGCGTTTCCAAATCAAGGAAGAGGTCCTGTTGTTCAAGCTCTTGCTGAGGAAAGGTAGGGGAACTCTGGTATGTTTGCCATGGCTGTGGAAATGTATTTGGTCATTTTAAACTGCATTAATTCAACAATATAGATCAGTTCTGAGTCAACTTGGGCCTTCCCTCCAGGTGTTTTGGACTCCAACTCCCACAATTCCTAACAGCCGGTAGGCTGTTAGGAATTGTGGGAGTTGGAGTCCAAAACACCTGGAGGGAAGGCCCAAGTGCCCTGTTAAGTAGTTTCCTAGGCTTGTCTGGGCAACATTGATTCCAAGGAGGCTGGATGGCCATCTGTCAGGAGTGCTTTGATTGTGTATTTATTTATTTACTTTATTTGTATACCGCTCTTCTCAGCCCTTAGGCGACTCAGAGCGGTTTACAACAATTTAGGTATACACAATACAAAATCATTAAGCATTTAAAAGCAATAGCATCACAAATCATTAAACATCAATACATCAATACAACAAATCTATCAGGTCTCGTCAATGAAATCAGAATCCAAACTCGTTATCCGATATTCCGTGTTCCGATAGTCAGTCAATCAGTCACACTGCTTAGTCGAATGCCTGTTCAAACAGCCAGGTCTTTACTTTCGTCCGGAATACCAGCAAGGAGGGGGTCGATCAAATGTCTGCAGGAAGGGCGTTCCACAGCCGAGGGGCCACTGAGAAGGCCCTGTCTCTCGTCCCCGCCAGGCGTGCTTGTGAAGCCAGCGGGATCGAGAGCAGGGCCTCCCCAGACAATCTTAATGTCCTAACTGGTTCATAGGAGGAGACGCGTTCGGACAGGTAGGTCGGGCCAGAACCGTTTAGGGCTTTAAAGGCTAAAGCCAGCACTTTGAATTGTGCCCGGTGTATTGAATTGGATAACCTTTGCAGTGTCTCCTCTGTGGGCTGAGAGAGTGTGACTTCCCCAGTTTATCTAGTAAATAGCATAGTAGCTTGAAGACACATGCAAACACCCATAACCACAAAGGAGCTGCATGCAATACCATCCTGTGAAAACTTACTGGCAGCACATGGGGTGCAGACCCCAAATTAGTAAGAGCATCAGCCCTGGCCTTGTCTTACTCAACCGCCGAGTATGCCTGCCCTCTTTGCGGAAAGAGGGCTAGCTACACACCCAAGATTCACAGCATTTTCTCAATTTATTATTTACAGTATTTCTATTTCGCCCTTCTCACCCCGCAGGGGACTCAGGCTCAGTGTGCACATATATGGCAAACATTCAATGCCAATTTTTTACATACAAACATATAGACATACACAGAGGCTATTTAACTTTTTTCTGGCCACCAGGGGAGCTGTCGCTTTCATCGTCCATCTGCGACGCTGACGCTGATGAAGCACTTCTTCATTCCCCGCTGGAATGCTTTGCTGGAGTCTTCTTTATGGCCTCATAAATCAGTTAATTTAGCCTCCCTACACTTTAATTTAGCCTCCCTACACTGGAGCCCCCGGTGGCGCAGTGGGTTAAAGCACTGAGCTGCTGAGCTTGTTGATCGAAAGGTCGCAGGTTCGATTCCGGGGAGCGGCGTGAGCTACCGCTGTCAGCCCTAGCTTCTGCCAACCTAGCAGTTCGAAAACATGCAAATGTGAGTAGATCAATAGGTACCGCTCCGGCGGGAAGGTAACAGCGCTCCATGCAGTCATGTCGGCCACATGACCTTGGAGGTGTCTACGGACAACGCTAGCTCTTCGGCTTAGAAATGGAGATGAGCACCACACCCCAGAGTCAGACATGACTGGACTTAATGTCAGGGGACTACCTTTACCTTTTTACACTTTAAGGTAGTACCTAATTTTCCTACTTGACAGATGCAACTGTCTTTCAGGTTGCAAAGGTCGACAACAGGCTACACACATTTGGTTGGAAACCCACTCCAACCCGGGCTGGTTTGGAACTCATGACCTTTTGGTCAAAGTGATCTTAATGCAGCTGACACTCAGCCAGCTGCACCACAATCCCGGTGCTCAAGGTGCTCTTGATCTATCACTGGCAAAGAGACCTCATGGGCCATCCAGTCCAACCCCATTCTGCCAAGAAGCAGGAATATTGCATTCAAAGCACCCCTGACAGATGGCCATCCAGCCCCTGTTTAAAAGCTTCCAAAGAAGGAGCCTCCACCACACTCCGGGGCAGAGAGTTCCACTGCTGAACGGCTCTCACAGTCAGGAAGTTCTTCCTCATGTTCAGATGGAATCTCCTCTCTTGTAGTTTGAAGCCATTGTTCCGCGTCCTAGTCTGCAAGGAAGCAGAAAACAAGCTTGCTCCCTCCTCTCTGTGGCTCCCTCTCGCATATTTATACATGGCTATCATATCTCCTCTCAGCCTTCTCTTCTTCAGGCTAAACATGCCCAACTCTTTAAGCCGCTCCTCATAGGGCTTGTTCTCCAGACCCCTGATCATTTTAGTCATCCTCCTCTGACACATTCCAGCTTGTCAATATATCTCTTCAATTGTGGTGCCCAGAATTGGACACAGTGTGAATCCAGATGTGGTCTGACCAATAGAGGGGTAGCATGACTTTCCTGTTGTGTTCTTGTGTTATATTGTTTTACTGTATTGCTGGGCTTGACCTCATGTAAGCCGCCCCGAGTCCCCTTGGGGAGATGGTGGCGGGGTATAAATGAAGTTATATTATTGTTATATTATTGTTGTTTTTATTATTTATACTTTTCATTACACAACCATTAATGATGTTAACCTGGGTTTGGAGATGTGTCAAAAGGCCCAAGGAGCTTGGGGTGCCCCTAAAAGGTCCTAAAAGGGTTGGAGTGCTCCTGGGGCCCTTCTACATAGCCATATAACCCAGAATCATAGAATCAAAGAGTTGGAAGAGACCTCCTGGGCCATCCAGTCCAACCCCATTCTGCCAAGAAGCAGGAATATTGCATTCAAATTACCCCTGACAGATGGCCATCCAGCCTCTGTTTAAAAGCTTCCAAAGAAGGAGCCTCCACCACACTCCGGGGCAGAGAGTTCCACTGCTGAACAGCTCTCACAGACAGCAAGTTCTTCCTCATGTTCAGATGGAATCTCCTTTCTTGTAGTTTGAAGCCATTGTTCCGCGTCCTAGTCTCCAGGGAAGCACAAAACAAGCTTGCTCCCTCCTCCCTGTGGCTTCCTCTCACATATTTATACATGGCTATCACCTCTCCTCTCAGCCTTCTCTTCTTCTAGAGCATCAAGACAGAAAATCCCACAATATCTGCTTTGAACTGGGTCATCTGAGTCCACACTGCCATATATTCCCGTTCAAACAGATAATGTGAGATTTTATTTAGCTGTGTGGGAGGGGCCGTAGATCCATCTCCTTGCCCCATGGCTCTCCCCATGGTTCCATGCAGAGGTTAAGCAGCATTGGGAGGATCAATAAGATCCAATGCTGCTTGGTGAGACAACCAGCATTGGGACTGATTAATTTCTTTTTCAAAAGCCAGGGAAATACAATAAAAATACATTAATAAATGTTCCCATTTTAAATCCAGAATCAAGACTTTGCCGAAATTCCTTGTGCCATGCCCCAATTGGACTTGTAAGTTACATTCCATGCCCCCAAACATCACCTGTCTAACTACAGCAACCCCATTAGTTTCATAGGGGTTTTCTTAGGAAAGGGATATTTTTGTCCGTTCCTTCCTCTGAAACAGAGCCAACAGCACCTGGTGTTCACTGTTAGTGTCCCATCAGGGCTGATTGTGCTTTGCTATCAAGAGTTGATGGGATCTGGTGTCTTTTGGGTACCTTTAAATGCTTTCTCTTGACATTAAGTCTAGCCATGTCCAACTCTGGGGGTTGGTGCTCACCTCCATTTCTAAGCCTAATAATAATAATAATAAAACTTTATTTGTACCCAGCTACCATCTCCCCAAGGGACTCGGTGCGGCTTACATGAGGCCGAGCCCACAATACAACAATACAAGCAATAACAATACATGCATTTAAAATAAATCACATAGACAATAACATAAGCATTGACAATAATACAGAACACTTTAAAAACTATGGCTGGGCCAAAGGTAATTAAAAATTTAAAATGATGCCGAAGAGCCGGTGTTGTCCGTAGATGCCTCCAAGGTCATGTGGCCGACATGACTGCATGGAGCGCCATTACCTTCCCACAGAAGCGCTACCTATTGATCTACTCACATTTGCATGTTTTCAAACAGCTAGGTTGGCAGAAGCTGGGGCTAACAGCTGGAGATCACCCCACTCCCTGGATTCAAACCGCTGACCTTTTGGGCAGCAAGTTCAGCAGGTCAGCAGTTTAACCTGCTGCGCCACCGGGAGTTCCAGGGAACCTGTACCGGGATAATAATTCTTAACAGTGTACACCAGAATGATTATTCTGATATAGGTGTTCTCTAAATTACTGATAATATCAATCATAACACAACGATGTATTGGATTCCACAGGGTGTTTCTTGGAGAATCTTTGCTCTGAATCAGAAGGAGAAGGAATAGCACAATATGACTCTCTTGACATGAAAAACAAAGATGGATGAGCCAGACTTAACTGGTCCTGAAGACGGAAAAGTCCAGAAATTTCTGTGGAAGGACCTGATCGGATCAAATCCACAGAGCCAGCACTTCAAGCAGTTCACCTTTGATATGTTTGAGGGGCCCCGAGAGCTTTGCAGCCAACTCCATCATCTCTGTTGTCAATGGCTGAAGCCAGAGCGTCACACCAAGACTCAGATCCTGGACCTCGTGATCCTGGAGCAGTTCCTGACCATTCTTCCCCCAGAGATGGCCAGCTGGGTCAGGGAATGTGGGGCGCAGACCAGTTCCCAGGCGGTGGCTCTGACAGAAGGTTTTCTTTTGAGTCAGACAGAGGCCAAGAAACAGGAAAAAAAGCTGGTGAGAACATTTCCTCCTGGTGAGCAGGTTGTAGGTCTGATGATCCCTATTTTGAATCCTCCAATGACTTCAATAGGTTTGCTAAAATGTGGGTGCCCCCTCCCCTCAGATTTGATTTTGGTAAAGAAGGGTGTGGGGGGGATTCACCTTGTTAGGCAGTGGAATTGTGAAGTGGGTGGATATCTCAATCCACACACATCCAAACCCTTTCCCCAAGACATGCCCATGTTCTCATATTTCTCCTTTGTCCATGTCTTAAATCTTCACTGCTGTTTCAGGTCACAAATCCCTTGGTAAAAGCTCCACCGGAACTCCCTGCAGCAGAGAAGGCTCCATTGGACACCAGACAGAGTCCCCAGTGGAGGGTGGTCAATCAGGAGAGCAATGGAGGCACCCTGTTGCAAGGTAAGGACAAACACCCTTGTCCACAATCTTGTGGGTCTATTTGTTTTTGTGTGCCTTCCAGTTGTTTTTGATTTATGATGACCCTAAGGCAGTGTTTCTCAACCTTCCTAACACTGCGACCACTTAATACAGTTCTTCATGTTGTGGTGACCTCCAACCATAACACAACTGTAATTTTGCTATTGTTATGAATCTTAATGTAAATATCTGATATATCTGATATGCAAATACCCAATACGCCCAAATTTGAATACTGGTGGAGTTGGGGAGGACTGATTTTGTCATTTGGTAGTTATAGTTGCTAGGATTTATAGTTCACCTACAATCAGAGGCTGGATGGCCATCTGTCAGAGGAGATTTGAATGCAATATTCCTGCTTCTTGGCAGGGGGTTGGACTGGATGGCCCATGAGGTCTCTTCCAACTCTTTGATTCTATGAATCTATGATTAATCAAAGCACATTCTGAACTCCACCAACATTGGAATTGAACCTATCTTGGCACACAGAAGTCTCATGACCAACAGAAAATACTGGAAGGGTTTGGTGGGCATTGACCTTGAGTTTTGGACTTGCAGTTCACCTACATTCAGAGAGTCTGTGGACTCAAACAATGATGGATCTCAATATACTCAATATGCCCACAAGTGAACACTGGTGGAATTTGGGGAAAGTAGACTTGTCATATGGGAAATGTAGTTGCTGGGATTTATAGTTCATCTACAATCTAAGAGCACTCGGAACCTGGCTAACAATAACATTGGGCCAAACTTCCCACACAGAACCCCAGTAACCAACAGAAAATACTGTGTTTTCTGATGGTGTTTGGTGACCCCTCTGACACCCCCTTGTGACCCCCCCCCCCCCCCAGGGTCCTGACCCCAGATTGAGAAACACTGCCCTAAGGGGTTTCCTTGGCAAAATTTGTTCACTGGTGGTTTGCCTTTCTCATGTCTGAGAGGATACTTTCTGTTACTTCCTATTGGGTGTATGTATAACTCAGTGAAGAAACTCGATCGTGAACATTCCTCCTTTAATGGAAAAGAGGGTATCTAAAGGCACGAACAACATTGAAGAATAGGGACAGGTTCCTGAACCACTAAAAACAGGAAATCAACATATTTCAACACACATTGTATCCAATATGCACATATGAATTGAAACTATGAGATCAGGAATAAACAAATAAATGTCTTGAACTTTCTAGAACTTATCTGAAGGCTTCCTCCAATATACATTCACCTTTTCTTTCACTATTCCCTATTTGTCTTAGTATTTTCAGAAATATTAAATATTAAATAGGTATTTTTGATTACAGTAGTGTGAGTCAAACGCTGAAAGAGTGAGTAGGCTAAATCCTGTTAAGAGTCAGTGAGCCAAAGCTAGTGTCGTCGTGAGGAGAGTGAGTAGGCCAAAGCCTGTTAGAGTCAGTGGGCCAAAGCTCGTGTCGTCCTCAGGACAATGAGTAGACCAAAGCCTTTTAGAGTCAGTGTACCAAAGCTAGTGTGGTCTTGAGAAGACTGAGTAGGCCGAAGCCTGTTAGAGTCAGTGTGCCAAAGCTCGTGTCATCCTAAGAAGAGTGAGTAGGCTGAAGACTTACAGTCAGTGAGTCAAAGTCAGTGTCGTCCTGAGGAGTGTGAGGTAAACCTCTGTGTGAGAAAAGCCTTGTTTCATAGAATCATAGAGTCAGAGTTGGAAGAAACCTCATGGGCCATCCAGTCCAACCCCATTCTGCCAAGAAGCAGGAATATTGCATTCAAATCACCCCTGACAGATGGCCATCCAGCCTGTGTTTAAAAGCTTCCAAAGAAGGAGCCTCCACCACACTCCAGGGCAGAGAGTTCCACTGCTGAATGGCTCTCACAGTCAGGAAGTTCTTCCTCATGTTCAGGTGGAATCTTCTTTCTTGTGGTTTATTATTGTTTATGTTGTTTTAAAATACCTGTCTGACCGCATCTCGGCCTATGAGCCCACGAGGACTTTGAGATCGTCTGGGGAGGCCTTTCTCTCGATCCCGCCTGCCTCACAGGCACGCCTGGCGGGGACGAGGGATAGGGCCTTCTCGGTGGTGGCCCCCCGGCTGTGGAATGCCCTCCCTGTAGACATCAGACAGGCGCCCTCCCTTATGACATTCCGCAAGAGACTAAAGACGTGGTTGTTTGAGAAGGCGTTTGACTAAGTGCTACAACAATTGGCAATGATGATTGGAACGGAATATGGATAACGAGATTGGATTGTGATTCTATGATGAGACGTCGCGAATGATTTAGTGTAATTGTATTATTGATAGTGATGTTGTTATTGTTGTTTGTGATATTGCCTTTATTGTAAATTGTTTTTATATGTTGTACACCGCCGTGAATCGCCCTAGGGCTGAGAACGGCAGTCTACAAGTGCAGTAAATAAATAAATAAATAATGCTATTCTAACTTGTTATTGTACTGTTTTTAATTGTATTTTGCCTTGGGCTTGGCCTCATGTTGTTGTTGCTGGTGTTGCTTCTTCCTCTTCTTCTCCTCCTCCTCCTCCTCCTCCTTCTTGTTCTTCTTCTGGTGTTGCTGTAAGAAGGTCTTCCATTGTGCATGTGGCAGGGCTCAGGCTGCATTGTAGTAAGTGGTCTGTGGGTTGCTCTTATCCACACTCGCATGCCATCGACTCCACATTTCTGAAGATCGTTTCTGCACCTTGTGGTGCCAGAGCGCAATCAGCTCTGTGCCTTCCAAGTCACCCACTCTTCTGTGTGCCCAGGGGGGAGTTTCTCATCTCATATTAGCCACTGATTGAGGTTCCGGGTTTTAGCCTGCCACTTTTGGACCCTTTCTTGCTGAAGTGTTTCTGCAAGTATCTCCGTAGAACTTAGGAAGCTGTTTCTTGATTTAAGGCGTTGGCATGCTGGCTGATATCCGAACAGGGGATGGACCGAAGATGTCAATGCCTTGGTCCTTTCATTAGAGGCTTCTACTACCCAACAGATGTCAGATGGTATAATACCAGCTAAACAGTGTAATTTCTCCAGTGGTGTAGGGCGCAGACACCCCATCATAATGCGGCATGTCTCATTGAGAGCCACATCCACTAGTGTGGTGAGATGTGTTCCACACTGGGCATGTGTACTCAGCAGCAGAGTAGCATAGCGCAAGGGCAGATGTCTTCACTGTGTCTGGTTGTGATCCCCAGGTTGTGCCAGTCAGCTTTCATATAATATTCTTTCTAGTACCCACTTCTTGCTTGATATTCAAGCAGTGCTTCCTGTAAGTTAGAGCATGGTCCAGGGTAACTCCCAGGTATTTGAGTGTGCTGCAATGCTCCAGTGGGATTCCTTCCCAAATCATCCTCAGAGCTTGAGAAGCTTGTTTGTTCTTAAGGTCAAAAGCACATGTCTGTGTCTCAGATGGGTTAGGAATCAGCTGTTTTCCCCTGTAATAGTCAGTAAGAGCACCTAAAGCTTCGGAGAGCTTCTGTTCAACCATTTCAAAGTTCCCTGCTTGAACGGTAATGGCATGATCTTCATCATAGATTAAACTCTCTGTCCTTTCTAGCAGTAGCTGATCATTTGTGCAAATGTTAAACACTGATGGAGCAAGCACAAGACTTAAGACTACATGATAAAACAGTATTAAAATCAACAATATTTTAATCATCCTTCCAATGCATAGGTAAAGGTAAAGGCTTTCCCCTGACATTAAGTCCAGTCGTCTCCGACTCTGGGAGTTAGTGCTCATCTCCATTTCTAAGCCGAAGAGCTGGCGTTGTCCATAGACACCTCCAAGGTCATGTGGCCAGCATGACTGCACGGAGCGCCATTACCTTCCCGCCAGAGGAGTACCTATTGATCAACTCGCATTTGCATGTTTTCGAACTGCTAGGTTGGCAGTAGCTGGAGCTAACAGCGGGAGCTCACCCTGCTCCTCAGATTCGAACCTGCAACCTTTCGGTCAGCAAGTTCAGCAGCTTAGTGCTTTAACCCACTGCGCCACCGGGGGCTCCAATGCATATGCTACTAAAATAGTGTCAGATACACAAGAGAGAAGAGGAAATAAGGGTAAGGTGAACATAAAATGACTTTGCACAAAACAGCTTGTCTCTTACAGAGAGTTTAACTGAAGTATGTCTTTGTTTCCAAGTGAGTTTTTAAGGTTGACACAAGCATATGTGACCAGTTTTCCCCCACCTTGATATTTTCCAGAGTCTGAAATGAGGCCCCCAAGAAGTCCTCAGTTGTCTCTTCTTCCTTTTTGTGACGGAGCAGAACCCTACCAGGTAAGGAGGATGCTTCTTAATGAAATAGCATTGGAACCAGTCTGGGTAGTTTTGATTTGAACCTTTTAATATCCTTTAAATTGTGTTGCATATACATTTTCACATGACACACACATAAAAAGTATCTGAAAATTGGTCAAGATGGACCATTGGATGGGAAAGAGTATCTCTTCTAGCATACTGAAATGCAATTTGCAGTTGCCTTCCCCTGAAAAAACCCTGCTGTGTAAGATGCATGATGCTTTGTTAGTTGTAGTGTGATGTTTCTTTGGAGTCAATCCCCTTTTAGCCTAGCATGTGACATGGGCTGCGGCTCCTGTGTTTCTCAGCCATGATTCTCATGCTGATGTTTGTGGAAGAATAAATGCCACCTTGGTTGACACTCATCTTGAAGTTAGGTGTGAGCCAGGATATTTTTCTTTTATTTTCAGAGTCTGGTGACATTTGGGGAGATGGTTGTGTCTTTCTCCCCAGAGGAGTGGGTCTTGCTGGATCCAGACCAGAGAGCCCTGCACAGGCAGATCATGGTGGAGATCCATGACATCGTGGCCTCTCTAGGTAAGGCTTTCTCTTTCTGTGAATGAGAAAAAAGAGCAGTACAACTCATCTTGGGATGGAGAAAGGCGTGGTATAAATGGGGCAAATAAATAAATAAGGGGCCAGAGTATCTCTTCTTTTGTTTTGGGGATCAATTGGTCTTTAGAATTATTTATTCCTTTCCTATAACTACTGAAAATATTTTCCCCTCTGTTTTTCCTTTTTGCAGCAGAAAACTGCAGATGTGACTGTGCAAAGTATGGGAAATGTTCTAGTCAAAAATGGGAACTTACCAACCACCAGCAAAGACAGCATTCAGAAGAGGAAAGTTACATCCAAGAGAGTCTCTGCAAATGCAATGTTTCTGAGAAATGTTTCCCCAAAAAAACAGCACTTGTGCCTCATGAGAGACTTCGTGCTGGAAAACCACATTTTCAGTGTGATGTTTCTATGAAAGGTTTTGGTTATAAATTGTACAATGTGACCAACCAAGAAGCCCAAACAGTAAAGAAGTCATACAAATGCCAGGAGTGTGGCAAATGTTTTGGTTACAAGTTGCATCTTGTGGCCCATCAGAAAATCCACATAGGTGAGAAACCCTACCAATGCCAGGAGTGTGGGAAAGGCTTTGCTTACAATTCACTACTTACGGCACATTGGAGAGAGCACACAGACTTTGTGAGCCTTGGGAAAATCCCCATAGGAGAAAATCCGTTCAAATACTGGGAATGCCGGAAACACTTTCCTCAAAAGATAGTCCTTATGGGGCATGAGAGCATCCACACAGGAGAAAAACCCTACAAATGTCAGGAGTGTGGCAAATGCTTTGCTCAAAAAGCATGGCTTGCAATGCATCAGAGGGTGCATACAGGAGAGAAACCCTACAAATGTCAGGAGTGCGGAAAAGGTTTTGCCCGGAGAGCAAGCCTTTTGAAGCACCAGAGAGGCCACACAGGAGAGAAACCATACAGATGCCAGGAATGTGGGAAATGTTTTGTTCTGAAGGCAGTCCTTGTGAGGCATGAGAATATCCACACAGGAGAAAAACCCTACAAATGCCACGAGTGTGGTAAATGTTTTACTGAGAATTCAGCTCTTTTGATCCACCAGAGAGTCCACACAGGTGAAAAACCGTACAAATGCCAAGAATGTGGGAAAGGTTTTGCTCAGAATTCACACCTTCAAGGCCACCAGACTGTCCATACAGGGCAGAAACCGTATCAATGCCAGGACTGTGGGAAAGGGTTTTCTTGGAATTCAGCCTTTGTGAGGCATCAGAAGATCCACACAGGGGAGAAACTATATAAATGCGAACAGTGCGGGAAATGCTTTTATCGCAATTCAGAACTCGTGCTACACCAGAGCAGTCACACAGGAAGCAAACCATACGAATGTGAGATATGTGGGAAATCTTTTGCTCAGAAAACTGTGCTTGTGAATCACCAGAGAACACACACGGGAGAGAAACTATACAAATGCCAGGATTGTGGGAAATCATTTGCTCAGAATTCACACCTTCTAGGTCACCAGAGAATCCACACTGGAGAGAAACCCTACCAATGTCAGGAGTGTGGAAAATGTTTTACTGGGAATTCAACTCTGTTAGTCCACCAGAGGGTCCACACAGGAGAGAAACCCTACAAATGCCAAAAATGTGGGAAAGGCTTTGCTCAGAATTCACACCTTCAAGGCCACCAAACAATCCACACGGGAGAGAAACCTTACCAGTGCCAGGAGTGTGGGAAAGGGTTTTCTTGGAATTCAGCCTTTGTGAGGCATCGGAAAATCCACACAGGAGAGAAACTACATGTATGTCAGCAGTGTGGGAAATGTTTTCATCTCAATTCACAGCTTGTGCTGCATCAGAACAGCCACACCAGAAACAAACCATACACATGTGAGTTCTGTGAAAAATGTTTTACTCAGAAGGCAGATTTTGTGAAGCACCTGCGAATACATACAGGAGAGAAACCGTACAAATGCCAGAATTGTGGGAAATGTTTCACTCAGAATTCACACCTTTTACGCCACCAGAGAATTCACACTGGGGAGAGACCATAGCAATGTCAGCAGTGTGAAAAATGTTTTGTTCAAGAAGCAGACCTTGTGAAACACCAACATGTCCACGTAGGAGAGAAACCATATAAATGTCAGGAGTGTGGGAAATGTTTTGCTCAGAAAAAGCATTTTGTGACCCACCAAAGAGTTCACACTGAGGGGAAACCTTATAAATGTGGCGAGGGTGGCCAGTCTTTTGGGAGGGATAGCCAATACCCCAGAAGGCAGGAGCAGAATTCAAAACGATCTTAAGAGATTAGAGAGATGAATGACCAAAACTAACAAAATGAAGTTCAACAGGGACAAGGCAAGATACTCCACTTAGGCAGAAAAATGAAATGCAAAGATACAGAATGGAGGACGTGTGACTCAAGAGCAATACATCTGAAAAAGATCTTGGAGTTCTCGTGGACAACAAATTAAACATGAGCCAACAATGTCATGCGGCGGCAAAAAAAGCCAATGGGATCAATAGGAGTCTAGTGTCTAGATCCAGGGAAGTCATGCTCCCCATGCTCTATTCTGCCTTGGTCAGACCACATCTGGAATCACACTGTGTCCCGTTCTGGGCACCACAATTGAAGAGTGATATTGACAAGCTGGAATGTGTCCAGAGGAGGGCGACTAAAATGATCAAAGGTCTGGAGAACAAGCCCTATGAGGAGTGGCTTAAAGAGCTGGGCAGGTTTAGCCTGCAGAAGAGAAGACTGAGATGAGACATGTTAGCCATTTATAAATATGTGAGAAGAAGTCACAGGGAGGAGGGAGTGAACTTGTTTTCTGCTGCTCTGGAGACTAGGATGCGGAACAATGACTTCAAACTACAAGACAGGAGATTCCACCTGAACATGAGGAAGAACTTCCTAATTGTGAGAGCCGTTCAGCAGTGGAACTCTCTGCCCCGGAGTGTAGTGGAGGCTCCTTCTTTGGAAGCTTTTAAACAGAGGCTGGATGGCCATCTGTTGGGGATGCTTTGAACGTGATTTTCCTGCTTTTTGCACTATGGGGTTGGACCGGATGGCCTACGAAGTCTCTTCCAGGCAGCTGTGGATAGTGAAACCCAAAGTGCAGATACTGAGCCCCTTAAGCGGGTGGCCGGAAATGGCAGCAGGCTGCCTATAGATCCGTCTGCCTAATGAGACTAATAATAGTAGTAGTAGTAGTAGTAGTAGTAGTAGTAGTAATAATAATAATAATAACACTTTATATATATTCCGCCCTTCTCACCCCGAAGGGGACTCAGGGCGGATCACAACACACATACACAGCAGACATTCAGTGCCGCTTTGTATAGACAATACACAAACAGACAGAACAGAAAGGAGGTGTGGACTCAATGTCCAGCTGTTTTTGGTGCCAAGGAAGGTGAGTCCAGCCACTGGGAGTGCTGTTGCTCCATCCTCTATGATGAAGAGCCATCAGGACTTCCTCCTTCCTTTTGGTCACCCAGCATTTTCTGATGCTCTTTCTTTATGGTGTCGTAAAACAGCTTCCCCGCTTTTAGCGGTACCTAATTTCGCTGTTTTCGAACTGCTTAGGTAAACAGTGAGCAGGGCTGACAGTCGACCACTCATGCCCACCCGGGGTTTTGAACTTTATTTATTTATTATTTATTTACATCACTTATATCCCGCCCATATCAGCCCGCAGGCGACTCTGGGCAGTCTTTCAGTTGACAGATCTTATAGTTCCTAGTGATTTACCAGCTGTGCTAAACCTCCGGCCCAAAGAAGCTAAACCCAATGTTCCTGAATCATGAAATATCACCAGTTGAAGAAGAAGCCACTGGAATGGATGACAGTAAACCGCTAAAGCATTGTTTCTCAACCTGTAGGTCCCCAGATGTTTTGGCCTTCAACTACCAGTAATCCTTACAGCTAGTAAACTGGCTGGGATTTCGGGGAGTTGTAGGCCAAAACACCTGGGGACCCACAGGTTGAGAACCACTGTGCTAAAGGAAAATGAGATCCTTCTTACAGGAAACACAAACATTTTTATACAGTCAAATCCTTTGTATTTCCCACTCTCACCTGAGCTGGGGCTCAGGTGGGAGTGCACTGATTGGCGGAGCTCTGTTGACATCAGCCAGCTGGGGAGGATTCAATTGGAGAGGTGGGACTGTGGTGCCAGCCAGCCAATCTGAGAGCATTCCCCACTTCTGATGCAGATTTCTGCTCTCCAATGACTGACACTGGAATGGAGATGTGCTTGGAACAGGAACTCCCCCAAAGTAGGTCTGTTGCCGTCAGCACTGAGTCCCTGACTTTGCTGCTGATTCATAGCCCTGAGCTCCCTGCACAGATGTCTCTAGGGCACAGTCTGATTGCTCAGCATTTTCCCTGCTAACCTACCTGATGTCCTTCTGACTTCTTTCTCCCTTCGTAGTTCCTGAAACTGTGATGTATCTGTTACCTCCTCCTCCTCCTTCTTCCTCACCACTTAACTCCAAATCCCCAAGTGCTTCTTCTTCATCTACCTGTCCTTCTCCTCTCTCAGGATCAGAAGAGCAGTCTACAACAGGCATGGGCAAACTTTGGCCTTCCAGGTATTTTGGACTCCCAACTCCCACAATTCCTAAGAGCCGCTAGGATTTGGAGTCCAAATCACCTGGAGGGCTGAAGTTTGCCCATGCCTGATGTTGATGGTCTTCTTTGTCCTGTACTTTTGAATTATTGGAAATATTTATTAATTAATTTCACATATTTGTAACCTGTCCTTCCTACCCCCGGAGGGGAACTTAGGCATTCATTCAATGCCAACAGCAGTAATAAAAATGATAAAAGCACTTAAAACAATTTGTTAATGCTTTAAAATTATTAAAACATCGTTTAAATCACGCAGGTTTGGAATCATAGTCCAGGTCAGTCCATTGTCATTCACACAAATTGGGTCTCGTTCTAAATTGCTGCCTCTATTGTTCGAATGCGTGGTCCCATATGCAGGTTTTGAGTTTCATTCTAAAGGACAGAGGGGGGGGGCAATATAATGTCACTGGGTAGAGCAGTGGTTCTCAACTTGGTCCCACCATTGTTGCAAGCGCAACTGGTGGAGATGAGAGACAGGGCCTTCTCAGTGGTGGCCCCTCATCTGTGGAACTCTACCCCAGTGCTTCTCAACCTGGGGTTCCCAGATGTTTTTGGCCTACAACTCCCAGAAATCCCAGCCAGTTTACCAGCTGTTAGGATTTCTGGGAGTTGAAGGCCAAAAACATCTGGAGACCCCAGGTTGAGAAGCACTGGGGTAGAGAGTTCCACAGGGGAGGGGCCACCACTGAGAAGGCCCTGTCTCTCGTCTACACCAGTTGTGCTTGCGACGATGGTGGGACCAAGTGCTGGGCCTCTCCTGTTGATCTTAGACTTCGTGATGATTCATAGCAGGAGATACATTCAGGGCTTTATGGGCTAAAGCCAGCACTTTGAATTGTGCTCGGTAGCAGATTGTCAACCAATGGAACTGGCATAAAAGAGGGGTTGTAGGTTCTCTATATGCCATTCCGATGAGCAACCTTACCTGTTTGAACGTATCTCTCCTTATGAACCATTTAGGAACGCAAGATCATATCTGGGAGGCCCTGCTCTCGATCCCACTTTCCTTGCAGACACGTTTGGCAGGGACAAGAGTCAAAGACAGGGCCTTCTCAGTGGTGGCTCCTCCGCTGTGGAACTCCCTCCCTAGGGATATTAGATCGGCCTCATCCCTCCTGACTTTCCAAAAAAAGTAAAAACCTGGTTCTTTGAACAAGCTTTTGGAATGCAGCATAACAGATAAATATGGAACAATGAAAGAGTGAACATGGAACGGTTAGACGATGCTACTGGAAAAATGAGTTTAACAGGAAGACACTGGTGATTATATGTTTTTAATTTGTGTGTGTGTATTTTTATAATGTGCTAAATGTTATTTAATTGTATTTTACGATTGTTGTGGCATCAAATTGCTGCCATTGTAAGCCGCCTTGAGTCACCTTCAGGCTTTTTTCTTTCTTTTTCTTTTTTTGTCGTGTCAGGACCGACTTGAGAAACTGCAAGTCGCTTCTGGGTGTGAGAGAATTGGCCGTCTGCAAGGACGTTGCCCAGGGGACGCCCAGATGAATTTTTTTATATCCTTCTGGGAGGCTTATCTAATGTCCCGGCATGAGAAGCTGGAGCTGATAGAGGGAGCTCATCCGCCTCTCCCTGGATTTGAACCTGCGACCTGTTGGTCTTCAGTCCTGCCAGCACAGGGGTTTAACCCACTGCGCCACCTTCGGGCTGAGAAAGGAGAGATAGAAATACCGCAAATATATAATTAAATAACAAACCTGGCTGCCATCCGTTGAACTAGTTGGAGCTTCCAAACAGTCTTCAAAGGCAACCCTATGTAGAGTGTGTTGCAGTAATCTATTCGGGATGAAATGAGAGCATGGACTGCCGTGGCCAAGTCTGGCTTACCAGGGTACGGGCGCAACTGGCACATGTTTTAATTGTGCAAAAGCTCCCCACCCACTGCCAAAACCTAGGTTTAATATTTCATCCCTGAGCTGCGCTGTGCACTTCTAAATTGTGATATAGGTATGGAGTCTTTGACACCACCCTACTTTTTTCAAACCCATTACCTTCAGTATGCCCTCCAAAACCCTGGGTGTTGATGTGAGCCATATATGGCCAATTTTGGTAGCTGAATATGGCCTACTCTTTATGCTTTGTGCTGGGAGGCAGTTGCAGCTCCCAGAATGGCTTGGGAACTGTGATAGCCTCTCAGCAAAGGCTTCCCCCAGGCAGTAAGAAGCCACACCTTGAAAACTGTAAGATCATTAAATGCTAATCAGGTGGCCAATTGCTACATCCACACCTACCTCTTTGTGCTAGCAGGCAGTTGCAGCTCCCAGAATGGCTTGGGAACTGTGATAGCCTCTCAACAAAGGATTCCCCCTGGCAATAAGAAGTCACCCCTTGAAAACTGCTAGGCCATTAAATGCTAATCAGGTGGCCAATTGCTACATTCGCACCTACCTCTTTGTGCTAGCAGGCAATTGCAGGTTCCAGAATGGCTTGGGAACTGAGATAACCTCTCAACAAAGGATTCCCCCAGGCAGTATGAAGTCACACTTTGAAAACTGCTACATTCACACAGAGAAAAGTTCTTTTTCCCACCCTGGACATTCCACAGGTACATAAATCCCATTTTCCTAGTTTCCAACAGACCTCGCAACCTCTGAGGGTTCCTGCCATAGATGTGGACAAATTGTCAGGAGAGAATGCTTGTGGAACATGGCCGTACAGCCCGGAGAACACACAAGAACCCAGTGATTCCAGCCATGAAAGCTTTCGACAATACAAATAAAAGAAAAAAAAAACCAAGGAAAACACCTAGACGACCGGAGTTTGGGAATCACTGTTCCAAAACAAGTTTTTGGGAGGGAACTTTAACTCCCAGAAGCCCCAGCCAGCTTGGCAGACTGTCACAAATCCACATCACCTGGAAGCCCAGAGGTTGGGATCCAGTGCTCTAAGGGTTAAAACAAGAGAGAAGGCGCTTCCTGAGTGAGGCAATGAGGGAAGAAGGTCCTCCTGCAAAAAAACCTCCACTGCAATGGTGCTTGCAAGGGTTTGAATCCCCTTTGCACCAGGAACTCAGACAGAAGGGAGCAAAAAAGGTGGCGTATCAGTCTGGATTTATGGATTTTTTGCTGCATTAAAAAAATTGCATGCATCCTGAACTCTTGAATTGATTTATGTTGCAATTTTTTCAAAACATGCATGCATATATATATGTCAGCTTTTAATTCTGTTTATTTATTTATTTTGCAATTTGCTAAAATACAATGTATGCACCCTTCACAGTGTAACATCATGGATTTAATTTCTGCTACAATGTGTACAGCCAGAATAGTTTATGATCCCAGATGATCAGGAGTGTAACTATTGGGTGGGTGCAAAATGGGGACATACCTTCTCCTAGGACAGGCCTGTGCAAAGTTGGGCCCTCCAGGTGTTTGGGACTTCAACTCCCACCATTCCTAACATCCTCTATCTGTCTGTCTGTCTGTCTGTCTGTCTGTCTGTCTGTCTATCTATCTATCTATCTATCTATCTATCTATCTATCTATCTATCTATCTATCTATCTATCTGTGACTGCGTTTTCCTTTTTGTTCCTACTAGTTTCCATTTTCCATTTTGTTGACTGAAGGTACACAAACTTGATTCCATGCACAGAATTATTAAAATCTATATAAATAAAAATGTAATGTTTGTTTGTGGGATTAACAGAACTCAAAACCCAGTGGGCCAATTGGCACCAAATTTGGACAGCACACACCTAACAACCCAATGTATGTCTTTCACTCAAATTTTTTTTGATTTTGTCATTTGGGAGTTGTAGTTCTTGGGATTTATAGTTCACCTACAATCAAAGAGCATTCTGAACCCCACCAACGATGGAATTGAACCAAACTTGCCACACTGTTCTCCCATGACCAACAGAAAATACTGGAAGGGTTTGGTGGGCAGTGTCCTTTGGTTTTGGAGTTGTAGTTCACCTACACCCAGAGAGCACTGTGGACTCAAACAATGATGGATCTGGACCAAACTCTACACGAACACTCAATATGCCCAAATGTGAACCCTGGTGGAGTTTGGGGAAAACAGAATCTTGACATTCGGGAGTTTTCATTGCTGGGATTTATAATTCACCTACAATCACAGAGCATTCTGAACCCCACCAACGATAGAATTGGGCCAAAGCTCCCACACAGAACCCCCATGTGGGCCACAGCAACACATGGCAGGGGACGGCTGGTCTTCTATATAAATAAAAATGTAATGTTCGTTTGTGGGATTAACATAACTTAAAAACCACTTGATGAATTCACACCAAATTTGGACACAATACACCTTTCAGGCCAATGAATGACCATCACTCATAAAAGCACTGAAAATCATAGCAGCAGGGACTTAGAAAGCCAAAAAACCAAAAAATACATAACAACGCATGAACAAAATCACATATATATACACAAACACATATATAAACATATACAGAAATATGTACACACACAAAACACATATACATAGACTGGGCCACAGCAACGCGTGGCAGGGGATGGCTAATGTTGTATAAAATAACTATCGGACTACATGTATAAGGTGCACGTGAAGCCCTGTATTAATTTTGTGTTTAAACTTGGGTCCCAATACCAAGAGACCTTATTATGTATGTGTATAGTCAGCCTTCCACAGATTGAAAACAAATTACTGGGTTGCTGTGAATTTTCCGGGCTGTATGGCCACGTTCTAGAAGCATTCTCTTCTGATGTTTCGCCCACATCTGTGGCAGGCCTCCTCAGTGGTTGTGAGGTCTGTTGGAAACTAGACAAGTGAGGTTTATGTCTATATCTGTGAAATGTCCAGAGTGGAAGAAAGAACTCTTCTGTCCTGAAGGCAAGTGTGAATGTTGCAATTGGCAACCTTGGATTAGCACTAAATGGCTTTGCAGTTTCAAAGCCTGATTGCTTCCTGCCTGGGAGGGGATACTTTCCACAGATATATAAACCTCACAGACTTCACAACCTCTGAGAAGGCCTGCCATAGATGCAGGCAAATAGTCAGGAGATAATGCTTCTGGAACATGGCCATATAGCCCGGAAAACCTACAGCAACTCAGTGATTCCAGCCATGGAAGCCTTCAACAACAAATAAACTACTTTTTTAATATGAGAGAACACCTTCCTAGGAATGTCTAGGTTTTCCAGCATGACCATTTATCATAGGCATGGGCAAAGTTCAGCCCTTCAGGTGTTTTGGACTCCACCTCCACCTGTGTTGTCTAAAGCTTCCATGGCCGGAATCACTGGGTTGTTGTAGGTTTTCCGGGCTGTATGTCCATGTTCTGGAAGCATTCTCTCCTGATGTTTCACCCACATCTATGCCAGGCATTCTCAAAGATTGTGAGGTCATAGATGGAGGCTAAACGTCAGGAGAGAATGCTTCTAACACATGGTCATATAGCCGGGAAAACCTGTGATTGTGTTTATTGTAATGTTATTTTGTTACTGTATTCATGTGCTTTTTTTAAAATGTAATTTTGATGCTGTTGCTTGTTGCTTATGTTTTGGTTTTATCTTGCTGTAATATGTTTTCCGGGCTTGGCCTCATGTAAGCTGCCACGTGTCCCCGTTGGGGAGATGGTGGTGGGGTATAAATAAAGTTGAGTAGTTGTAGGTTTTTTCGGGCTATATGGCCATGTTCTAGACGCATTAATCGCCCTCCATCCGAGAATGCTCCAGGCGATTTACAGCTAAATTGTAAAAGTTAAAATACATACATACAAAAATTAAAAATTAACAGAGATCGAATGCTCTAGTAAAAAGCCAGGTCTTAAGTGCGAGAGTAAAAGGTCCTAAGTCATGCATGGCTCTCATATAGGGTGGCAAGGGAATTCCACAAGGCAGGGGCAGAAATAGAGAAAGCTCTGCGCCTGGTCCTTTCCAAGTGCACTTCTCTAGGACCCGGTATATAGAGTAAGTTACGTTGGGCTGGTCGTTACGACCTCCGATGATGGGAGAAGGAGAGACGGTCCCTAAGGTACGATGGACCCTGGCTGTAAACTATTTTAAAGGTCAGAACTAACATCTTATACAGGCCACGGTACTCAGTTGGAAGCCAATGTAAATGTTGCAGCACTGTTTCCTCTCTGTTGCCTTGCTGTTCTAATAAGTAAGTAAATATGATGATGATGATGATTTCTCCTGACGTTTCGCCTGCATCTATGGCAAGCATCCTCAGAGGTAGTGAGGTCTGTTGAAACTAGGAAAAAGGGTTTATATATCTGTGGAATAACCAGGGTGGACAAAGAACTCTTGTCTGTTGGAGCTAGGTGTGAATGTTTCAACTGATTACCTTGATTAGCATTTAATGGCTTGGAAATGCCTGGGGAAAGCTCTTGTAGAGAGGTGATTTGATGTGCCTGATTGTTTATTCTCTGTTGCCTTGCTGTTCTAATTTTAGAGTTTTTCAATACTCGTAGCCAGATTTCGTTCATTTTCATGGTTTCCTCCTTTCTGTTGAAATGGTCCACATGCTTGTGGATTTCAGTGGCTTCTCTGTGTGGTCTGACATGGTGGTTGTGAGAGTGGTCCAGCATTTCTGTGCTCTCAAATAATATGCTGTGTCCAGGTTGGTTCATCAGGTGCTCTGCTATGGCTGACTTCTATGGTTGAAGGAGTCTGCAGTGCCTTTTCTGTTCCTAGTTCCAACAGACCTCACTACCTCTGAGGATGCTTGCCATAGATGCAAGTGAAACGTCAGGAGAAATGCCTCTAGAACATGGCCATATAGCCCGGAAAACCTACAACAACCCAGTGATTTTGGCCATGAAAGCCTTCGACAATACATAAATAAATAACATAAATAACATCCAGTTCACCATGGAAAAAGAAAATGAAGGAAGACTGCCTTTTCTAGATGTCCTAGTCATCCGCAAACCAGATCAACAATTGGGTCACACCGTTTACAGAAAACCCACACACACAGATAGATATCTACATCAAAACTCCAACCATCACCCAAGTCAAAAAAGAAGCACCATTAAAGCCTTGGCAGACCGTGCAAAAAGAATCTGCGAAGCCCACCTCCTCCAAGATGAACTGAACCACCTCAACTGGGCTCTCCAGGCCAATGGAGACTCCACCTCAGACATCAGAAGAGCTGCAAGACCAAGAACAAGCCACGAGAGTAAAGATGAAGATCCACCCAGAGGAAAAGTGTTCCTGCCATACATCAAGGGAACCACTGATCGCATAGGGAAGCTGATGAGGAAACACAACATACAAACAATCTACAAACCCACCAAGAAAATCCAACAAATGCTACGTTCAGCAAAGGACAAGAGGGATCCTCTCACCTCTGCAGGAGTCTACCGTGTACCATGCAGCTGTGGACAAGTCTACATAGGGACCACCAAACGCAGCAGCATTGCCCAAACACGAATCAAGGAACATGAAAGGCACTGCAGACTACTTCAACCAGAGAAGTCAGCCATAGCAGAGCACCTGATGAACCAGCCTGGACACAGCATATTATTTGAGAACACAGAAATGCTGGACCACACCAACAACCACCATGTCAGACTACACAGCGAAGCCATTGAAATCCACAAGCATGTGGACAATTTCAACAGAAAGGAAGAGACCATGAAAATGAACAAAATCTGGCTACCAGTATTAAAAAACTCTAAAATTATAACAGCTAAACAACAGAGAGGAAAAAACCAGGCACAGATTAACACCTCCCAGCAACAGATTTTCCCAGACTCAGGCAGGCCTTCAAATGCTAATGAAGGTGATCAGCTAAACATTCACACCTAACTGCAGCAGGGAAGAGCTCCTTGCCCCACCCCAGCCATTCCACAGATATATAAACCCATTTTTCCTACTTCCAACAGACCTCACTACCTCTGAGGATGCTTGCCATAGATGCAGGCGAAACGTCAGGAGAAATGCCTCTAGAACATGGCTCTATAGCCCGAAAAAACCCACAAGAACCTAATACATAAATAAAGTTTATTAATATTACAACAACCCAGTCGGTAGGCTTTTAGGAATTGTGGAAATTGAAGTCCAAAATGGGAGTTGTAGGGAGGGAGGGCCAAAGTTGGTGTTAGTCAACTTCTGCTGGAAAAATCTTTGTTGACCATTCACTGTCATGCTTTTCTCCTTTTTCTCCAGGCAAACATTTTGCCTTCAGTTTGGTCCACAGTCCCTAAGCCAGAGTTTCTTGCCGTGCGACACCTTGATTGTGAAGTCCCCAAAGGATGAGAAGAGGGACCTTAAGCCCCGCAGGCCCCACCTCAGAGGAGGAAGCATCACCGGGCACAGGAGGGTCTCCTTATGTCCTCCAGGCCGGGAATATCCGAGAATTCTTGGAAATGATGCCAGGAGACCAAATCAAACAGGAGCCCGAGGAGAGCTCCCTCCAGTTGTGGGAAGTTCAATGGCAGGAGTTCCTGAAGACCGTTGAGACCCCCGAGCCAGACCCATTTTCAGAGAAGTCTTCCCCGTGGGATGACGCCAAAGCCTTCCTGGCTTCTTTTGAGCAAGTGGCCGAGGCCTGTCGGTGGCCCAAGGAAGAGTGGGTGACCCGCCTCACGCCGGCCCTCAGCGGAGACGCTGAGCAGGCCTTTCTCAAGCTGCCCGCCCGACACAGGGAGGATTACGGGGTGGTGAAGGCGGCCATCTTGCGAGGGGACACCTTGAGCCGGGAGAAGATCCGCCAGCACTTCCGGCAGTTCTGCTACCGGGAAGCCGAGGGGCCCCGGGTGGCGTATATCCGACTCCAGGAGCTTTGCTGCCAGTGGTTGAAATTCAAGCACCACTCCAAGGAGCAGATTTTGGAGCTGCTAATCTTGGAGCAGCTGTTGACCATCTTGCCACCCCAGATCCAAAACTGGGTTCGGGAACGTGGGCCGGAGACCTGTTCCCAGGCAGTGGCCTTGGCTGAGGATTTCCTCTCAAAGAAACAAGGGATCCAAAGACAAGAAGACCAGGTGAGCACATTCTGAAATGTTGGGTTGTTGTCGGTTTTTCAGGCTGTATGGCCATGTTCTAGAAGCATTCTCTCCTGATGTTTTGCCTTCATCTGTGGCAAGCATCCTCAGAAGTTGTGAGCCTTCGACAATACTTTTTATTATTTATTTATTTATTTACAGCATTTATATTCCGCCCTTCTCACCCCGCAGGGGACTCAGGGCAGATTACAATGAACACATATATGGCAAACATTCAATGCCAATTTTGACATACAACGTATACAGACATACACAGAGGCTATTTAACTTTTTCTGGCCGCCAGGGGAGCTGTCGCTTTCATCGTCCATCTGCAACACTGATGAAGTACTTCCGCATTCCCTGCATGCTTTTGCTGGAGTGCTTTTGCTGGAGTCTTTTTTTTTTATGGCCTCATAAATTAGTTAATTTAGCCTCCCCACACAAGGTGGTACCTAATTTTCCTGCTTGACAGATGCAACTGTCTTTCGGGTTGCAAAGGTCAACAACAGGCTACACAATTGGTTGGAAACCCATATTATATTATTATACTAACTGTACCCGCCACGCGTTGCTGTGACCAACCTTCCCCCTTTCTCTCCTTCTTTCCCTCTTCCCTTCACTCTCTCTTTCCTTCTCTTCTTCTTTCCTTCTCTATCTGTTTCCTTCCTTCCCCCTTTTTCTTTCTCTTTCTGGTCTCTTTTCTTCCTTCTCTCTTTCCTTCTTTCCTTCCCTCCCTCTTTCTCTACATCTTCCCCCCTTCCTTCGCTCCCTCTTTCCTTCCTTCTTTCCCTTTTTTCTTCTCTCCTTCCTTCCTTCTCTAACTTTCCTTCCTTCCCCCTTTTTCTTTCCCTCCCTCTTTCTCTCCTTTCTTCCTTCTCTCTTTCCTTCCTTCCTTCTCTCTTTGTTTCCATGCTTCCTTCTCCCTTTCCTTCTCTCTTCCCTCCCTCTCTTTCCTTTCTCTTCTCTCTTTCTTTCTTTCCTTCTCTTTTCCTTCTTTCCTTCCCTCCCTCTTTCTCTACATCTTCCCCCCTTCCTTCGCTCCCTCTTTCCTTCCTTCTTTCCTTTTTTCTCTCTCCTTCCTTCTCTAACTTTCCTTCCTTCCCCCTTTTTCTTTCCCTCCCTCTTTCTCTCCTTTCTTCCTTCTCTACCTCTTTCCTTCCTTCTCTCTTTGCTTCCATGCTTCCTTCTCTCTTTCTTTCCTTCTTTCTTTCCTTCCCTCCCTCCCTCTTTCTCTACATCTTCCCCCTTCCTTCGCTCCCTCTTTCCTTCCTTCTTTCCCTTTTTTCTTCTCTCTTTCCTTCCTTCTCTAACTTTCCTTCCTTCCCCCTTTTTCTTTCCCTCCCTCTTTCTCTCCTTTCTTCCTTCTCTACCTCTTTCCTTCCTTCTCTCTTTGTTCCATGCTTCCTTCTTTCTTTCCTTCCCTCCCTCCCTCTTTCTCTACATCTTCCCCCTTCCTTCGCTCCCTCTTTCCTTCCTTCTTTCCCTTTTTCTTCTCCCCTTCCTTCCTTCTCTAACTTTCCTTCCTTCCCCCTTTTTCTTTCCCTCCCTCTTTCTCTCCTTTCTTCCTTCTCTACCTCTTTCCTTCCTTCTCTCTTTGCTTCCATGCTTCCTTCTCCCTTTCTTCTTTCTTTCCTTCCCTCCTCTTTCTCTACATCTTCCCCCCTTCCTTCGCTCCCTCTTTCCTTCCTTCTTTCCCTTTTTTTTCTTTCCTTCCTTCTCTGATTTTCCTTCCCCCTTTATCTTTCCCTCCCTCTTTCCCTCCTTTCTTCCTTTTCTACCTCTTTCCCTCCTTCCTTCTCTATCTTTCCTTCTTTCCTTTCTTTCCTTCTTTCTTTCCTCCTCCTCTTTCTCTATCTTCCCCCTTCCTTCGCTCCCTCTTCCTTCCTTCTTTCGCTCTTTCTTTCCTTCCTTCCTTCCTTCTCTAACTTTCCTTCCTTCCCCCCTTTTTCTTTCCCTCCCTCTTTCTCTCCTTTCTTCCTTCTCTCCTTCTTTCCTTCCTTCTCTCTTTGCTTCCATGCTTCCTTCTCCCTTCTTCTTTCTTCTTTCCTTCCCCTCCCTCCTCCCTCTTTCTCTACATCTTCCCCTTCCTTCGCTCCCTCTTTTCTTCCTTCTTTCCCTTTTTCTTCTCTCCTTCCTTCCTTCTCTAACTTTCCTTCCTTCCCCCTTTTTCTTTCCCTCCCCCTTTCTCTCCTTTCTTCCTTCTCTACCTCTTTCCTTCCTTCTCTCTTTGTTCCATGCTTCCTTCTCCCTTTCCTTCTTTCTTTCCCTCCCTCTCTCTCTCCTTTCTTCCTTCTCTCTTTGCTTCCATGCTTCCTTCTCTTTTTCCTTCTTTCTTTCCTTCCCTCCCTCTTTCTCTACATCTTCCCCCCTTCCTTCGCTCCCTCTTTCCTTCCTTCTTTCCCTTTTTTCTTCTCTCCTTCCTTCCTTCTCTAACTTTCCTTCCTTCCCCCTTTTTCTTTCCCTCCCTCTTTCTCTCCTTTCTTCCTTCTCTACCTCTTTCCTTCCTCTCTTTGCTTCCATGCTTCCTTCTCCCTTTCCTCCTTTCTTTCTTTCCCTCCCTTTCCTTCATTCTTGTTAGCAGAGTCTTTCTTTATTATAAATTCATAGTGGAAAACATCAAAAGTAAGAAAACAAACATCTTGCATCAGATATCAGACCCTAAACAAAACATTTAGAGTCCCAAACTCCAAAACGCCATAGCTTCTCCAAAAGCTCAAGGCTATAGCAATAGCAGAACGCTGAGGGACGCTGAAAGCTGCTGAAGGCTGCTGCTGGCTGCAGGCAGATGCAACACATTATAACCACAGTAATTAGATCCACCTGCACCCAATTAACCAAAACCACATCACAAGCATTTCAGCAATTAAAGATACAAACTTACTTATACATACATAACCCAAATACATACAATGAACAGATAAAATTTTGCACATTTTTACAGTTCTCCTGACACTCCTCCACAAAATTATATCAGTTCATATTTATATAATCATAAATTCAGTCTTTCACAAAATTGGTTATGTTTATCACATGTAAGAGGCTTCGTCAAAATATCTGCAACATTTTCAACAGAAGACACATAGTTAAGAACAATTCTTTTGTTCTTTACAAATTGTTGCACGTTAGAATATCTAACATTGATATATCTAGATTTCGTTTTTAAATTTTGACTCTTACACAATGCGATGCAAGTTTGAGAATCTACATACACCTGTATTGGTAATTCCAAATCAATGTTCATATTTTTAATTAGAGATTCAATCCACTCTACTGATGTCAAGGCATCAGATAATGCTGAAAACTCAGCTTCTCCTGTGCTTAAAGCAACTAAGTTTTGTTTTCTACTTTTCCAGCAAACTGGTGTATTGGCATATTTTATTATAAATCCTGTGACAGATTTATTTCCTTTTAAATTAGCGAATGAACTATCGCAATGGATTTCCAAAGACTGTTTGTCATTTGGGCAAATTCTGAATATTTTTTCAGCTGTTTGCTTTAAATATCTTAAAACTCTTTTTACTCCGGCCCAGTCTGTTTGTGAAGGATTTTGAATCCTTTGACTTAGGATACCAACAGAAAACGAAATGTCGGGCCTAGTATTGTTTGCAATATACAATAAAGAACCAAGAACTGAACGATAAATAAAATTGTTATCAAACACTTCTCCATCTACATGTTGTAAGAACTGAAGAGCCATAGGAGTATTAACAGTGTTTGCATTTTCCATTCTGGTTCTTTTCAAAAGATCATAAATCTTATCAGTTTGGTTTAATTCAAAACCAGTTTCATTTCTAGCAATATTTATGCCAAGATATCTATTAACATCTCCAAGATTTTTGATTTTCAATACTTTGCTTAAATTCTGAAAAACTTCCTCAATTTGTTCTTCAGATCCAATACATAACACATCATCCACATAAATTATAATAAACATTTGTGTATCTCCACTTCCTTTTGAGTACAAACAAGGATCAAAACTATTTGCAACAAAATTTAACTTTGTCAACACTTTGTCTAAATGTAAGTTCCAATTTCTTGCACTTTGTTTGAGACCATAAAGACTTTTTTTAAGAAGATAAGTCCCATCAGGAAGATCAGATTCAAAACCTGGAATAGCAGAAATATAAACTTTTTCCTCTAAATCTGCATGAAGGTATGCAGTATTCACATCAAAATGTTTGACTTTTAAATTTCTATTACTGGCAATTGCAAGAGTTATTTTTAGTGCTTCACCAGATACTGTGGGGCTAAATATCTCATTAAAATTTTCTCCATATATCTGTTCAAAACCTCTAGCAACTAATCTGGCTTTGTACAAATAACCACCATCCTTTGTTTGTTTACGTCTATACACCCAACGACAACTTAGAACTTTTGCATTATCAACTGTTTTAGATTTCTCCATAACTTGCAAATCTTTCAAAGAATCAAATTCACTTTGCATTGCTTTTAACCAAAGCTTTCTTTCAGTCTCTTCTCTATTCAACATCTCTTTATAACTTTGAAGTTCAGACCAGTCATGGTCTGGTACTTTCACAACTTCACAATGATATCTCTTTGGAGGTATACCCTTAGTTATCCTAGAACTACGTCTAGGAATGGTCCTAGTACTATCTCCTCCATCAGTCTCATCAGTCTCTGAATTACTAGAGCTAGTACTTTGTGAACTAGAGGATTCAGCTTCAGCTTTTCTCTTCTGAGATTCTGTCCTTTTAATTACAGGACTACTGCTTTGTAACTGACTAGAAACTGATTCTTGCTTCACTTGCACTTGTGAACCAAAATGTGTATCATGAGATGTGCTTGGTTGTATATCTTGCTGTGCAGACTGTTGTGAAACTGATTGCACTTGTGTAGCAGGTTGCTGTGAAACTTGTTGTGTAGTTGGCTGTGTGGTTAGTGGTGTATGCATTTGAGTAGTGTTAAAAGGCAGAAACACTTCCTTATTTGAATGAATCCTATCCCAACCACTGTGTTGTTGAAACTTTACACTTTTAGAAACTAACACCCTATTATTACCACACCAAAATCTCCAACCTTTTGACTCAGAAGCAGGGCCTAGATATTTCAATTTCTTCCAAATAGAATCCTTCTTATGTCTTTGTTGAGAAGGAATTAAGACATATGAGTCACTTCCAAAAACTCTGATTGAACTCAAATCAGGAGTTTTCCCAAAAAACAATAAATAAGGAATACTATTGACACTTTTGCAAAAAGAACGATTGAGCACAAAAGTAGCATTTGCCACAGCTTCAGCCCACAATCCATCAGATAAATTAGCATCTCTTAACATTTTTCTAGCTACAATTTTTAGAACACCTATCCACCTTTCTGCAACCCCATTTTCACTAGGTGAGTAAGGATTTGTTAACCTGTGAACTATGCCAAACTTTTCAAGCAAATGTTTCATTTGTTTGGACATAAACTCTGCACCACGATCACTTTGAAAAGCCTGTACTGGATACTCAGGAAACTGTGTTTGCATTAGCTTCAGCCAAGCAGAAATTTTCTGAAAAACTTCACCTTTAGTTCTTAGAAAGAAGGTGAATTTCAACCTAGAAAAATCATCCACCAAAATCAAAAAATATTTTGACCCGCCTACAGAAGTAGGATGAGGACCAGATACATCAATATGTATAAGCTCTAAGATCCTTTTTGAAACTCTAGCACTGTATTTTGCTATAGGAGCTTTCTTAAGATTTTCTGCTGCACAAATTTCACAATCTAGAAAATTCTTACATCCTTGAATAGGAATTTTACACAACTCAGCTGTTTGTCTTAGATACTGCCATGACAAATGACCCATTTTCCTGTGAAATTCATGAATACATTTGTCGTGTAATGGCCTGGGATTATCAGGTATCTGCTTAATGCAAGCTGACACATTTTTAGCAGACTTTAAAACAAAAAATCCCTTCTCTTGTCTCAGCTGTACTTCATTACCTTGAAAGTCAATTAACTTAGACTTATCCTTCTTCAAAGAAATCTCAAAATCTTCATCTAGAAGTTTGTTAACACTGAGAATATTATACATAATATTGGGTACATAGTACACATTCTCAAGAGTACATTTCAGACTGTCAATATAAAGATCACCACAAGAAAATACTTTAACTTTTCTATCATCAGCTAAAGAAATAAAATTTATATCAGAGTCTCTCACATTTGTCAACAGTTCTTTAGTTTTTACCAAATGCTGAGAACAGCCTGAATCTATAATAAAAGAGTTCATTATATCCTTCTTAGAGGTCACCAGGAAAGCATGCTGTAAGTCCTTTGAAGAACTAGGTCTTTCCACTTGCTTGTTTCTCCATTGTCCTTGATTCTGTTTGCAATTCTTAGCATAATGCCCTTTCTTTTTACATTTAAAGCACACAATTTGCGATTTTGGCTTAGCAACACAAGCAGTGTCATTAGAAGCAGTCCCAGAACTTGAACTTTTCTGTATAGGAGCAAAACTCCTCAATTTGCGTTGAGCCTCAAATTCCATAATTTTTCCTGAAATAAAAGGTATCGTGAGATCCCTGTCAGGAATTCCATGAAGAGAGTCCATGAACGCATAAAAAGGGCGAGATAGAGATCCCATCAAGATTAACGCTTGTTGCTCAGGGGGAAAAATAATGTCTCTTGCTCTCAACTCCGAAAAAAGAGCCACAACTCTTGTAACATGAGTTTGAACTGGAGAGCCCTCCTCATGTTTGAGGTTAAACAGCTGCCTCATAAGAATTATCTTCGAACCGCTTGATTGTCTCTGAAACATATCTTTAAACAAATTCCACGCAGTTTGCGCATGCAGAATATTATGAAGATGCACCAACAAAGAATCTGACACAGACAATTGAAGAAGTGCCAAAGCTCTTTCATCTTTATGTTGATCCGCAGGAGTTAATTGAGCTGGCAAGTTCTCAATTATGTCCCATAAATTCTGAGAAACAAGAAAAGCTTTAAATCTGACGCTCCAACTGAGCCAGTTACTTTCAGAAAGTTTATCAAAAGGGAGTGAACCAACTTGAAGAGGCGGCAAAGCCATTGTGGTATTTCACTTTAAAGTCCCAAAAAGTCCAGAAACAAAAATACTCACTGCACCAAAAGAAAAGACCCCCAGTACACCCGGGTTTAAGCTCAGCCAATTTATATTCACTACTTCAAGTAAAATTGGCTTCTAGCAGTCCAATATCTTTGCAGTAATTCTCTGGAATCCAAACACAGGGTCTGACACACAAACTGTTTTCTTCTTCTTTAGGCTTCTGAAACTTTTGTTGAAAACACCTCTGTGCAAGGCAAGACAGGAAAGCAACTTAGTTGGCCCTTGCTGCTCAGGCACGTAGAAGGCAAATTTTCCAACATAGCAAGCCATAAATCTTCTTGATTTCTCTGAAGGCAAATCCTCCAAGGTTTAGTGTACAGCAGCAAGCCATCACTTTAAACCTCACTGCTGATCAAAACAGCCAGGAACAGAAGATTCCAACAAAAAATGCCTTCAAAAACTTCTTAATGTTCCACCACATATTTACCTCAGACATGCGCATTATGCAGCGTTCTGGGCCCATAACCTGTTAGCAGAGTCTTTCTTTATTATAAATTCATAGTGGAAAACATCAAAAGTAAGAAAACAAACATCTTGCATCAGATATCAGACCCTAAACAAAACATTTAGAGTCCCAAACTCCAAAAACGCCATAGCTTCTCCAAAAGCTCAAGGCTATAGCAATAGCAGAACGCTGAGGGACGCTGAAAGCTGCTGAAGGCTGCTGCTGGCTGCAGGCAGATGCAACACATTATAACCACAGTAATTAGATCCACCTGCACCCAATTAACCAAAACCACATCACAAGCATTTCAGCAATTAAAGATACAAACTTACTTATACATACATAACCCTAATACATACAATGAACAGATAAAATTTTGCACATTTTTACAGTTCTCCTGACACTCCTCCACAAAATTATATCAGTTCATATTTATATAATCATAAATTCAGTCTTTCACAAAATTGGTTCTCTCCTTCCTTCCTTCTCTAACTTTCCTTCCTTTTTCTTTCCCTCCCTCTTTCTCTCCTTTCTTCCTTCTCTACCTCTTTCCTTCCTTCTCTCTTTGCTTCCATGCTTCCTTCTCCCTTTCCTCCTTTCTTTCTTTCCCTCCCTTTCCTTCATTCTTTCCCTCCCTCTTTCTCTCCTTTCTTCCTTCTCTACCTCTTTCCTTCCTTCTCTCTTTCCTTCTTTCCTTCCTTTCCTTCCCTTCCTTCTTTCTTCCCTTCCTTCCTGCCTTCCTTCCTTTCTTTCCTTCTTTCTTTCTTTCTTTCCCTCCCTCCCTCCCTCCCTCCCTCCCTCCCTCCCTCCCTTTCTTTCTTTCTTTCTTTCTTTCTCCTCCCCTTCCTTCCCTCTTTCTTCCTTTTTCTGTATTGTCATTTAGCTTTTCGTCATTTAGCTTTTTGGGAATTTTTAAGTCTTTTCTGCTGTGTTTTCAGTATTTTTGTGAGTGAAGGACATACATTGGGTTGTTAGATGTCTTGTGTCCAAATTTGGTGTCAATTCATCCAGTGGTTTTTGAGTTCTGTTAATCCCACAAATGAACATTACATTTATATAGATTGACTTCCCTGCCAAAGAGTGTTGTCGCCTCAACCAAACTACAACTCCCAGGAGTCCATGACATTGAGCTAGGGCAGTTTAAGTGGGCTCAGGCTGCATTAATTCTGGGCAGATTCTGAGAAACTCCAAAAACAGAACCGAGAGATAGATAGATAGATAGATAGATAGATAGATAGATAGATAGATAGATAGATAGATAGATAGATACAGATTGATTGATTTCTGGGGGCTTCATCCAATCATTTCTTACATGTTCTTTGAGCCTTGCTGCTTTGTATCCTGACACAGGTCCTTTTCTGCTTTTCCAGGAGGGTTTCCCGGAGACAGGCAGGAGCTCCTCCGAAGGAGACCTTCCTCCTCCTTCGATCCCAGAGCAAAGTCAGCTTTGCATCGAGACTAAAAAGGAAGCGGATGATGACGACGATGACACTCCCAGGTTTTTTGGTAAGGGCAGAAGACACTTTTAAATGTTCAAAATCTTTTGTAGTTGGCCAGTTGTGTCTATTTTTTAAGGATAGGCAAAAATGTGACTTCATATGATCTCTCAGAGCGGTTTTGTGGTCCCCTGGTGCACCGCACGGGTGTGCCCCCAAATGCTTTTTTTTTTTGTCATGTCAGAAGCAAATTGGAGTCGTTTCTGGTGTGAGAGAATTGGTTGTCTGCAAGGACGTTGCCCAGGGGAATGTGTTACCACCCTGTGGGAGGCTTCTCTCATGTCCCTGCATAGGAAGCTGAGGTTTATTTATTTATTTATTTATTTATTATTTGAAACTTGAACTTCTATGCCGCCACTCCCCTGGGGCTCGGAGCGACTTACAAGAATGGCTAAAATCTAACAAAATTTAAAAACAATTTAAAAACAGCATTATCAAACATTAAAAGCCTGTCGAAACAGGTATGTCTTACATGCCCTGCGGAAAGCTGGTAAGTCCAGCAAGGCACAGACTTCAGGTGGCAGAGTATTCCAGAGTGATGGTGCCACTGCTGTGAAGGCTCTGCATCCGGTTGCTGTTAGACACAAGGTCTTGACACTGGGAATTTCCAATAGATCTTGGTGCTCAGAACAGAGGGATCTCTGGGGTTGGTAGGGGGTGAGGCGGTCCCTCAGGTACATCGGCCCCAGACCATGCAAGGCCTTAAAGGTGAGTACCATCCCTTTGAAAGTGATCCAGTGCTCAATTGGTAACCAATTCAGCTGTAGTAAGATTGGTGTTATGTGGCATCTCATCGGAATTCCCGCAAGAAGCCGATCAGCTTCATTTTGTACCAACTTGAGCTTCCGGATCACCGTCTAGCCTGCTGCAGATGAAAGAAGGCGGTTCTGCTAACAGAGGAGACCTGGGCCTCTATCGTCAGCAGAGGGTCCAAAGGACTCCCAGACTATTTACCAATGATGACAGACGTAGCGCTTCGCCATCCAGGGTAGGCAGCTGGATATCCCCACTGCCTGTTCGACCCAGTGGGGATATCCAGCTGCCTAACCTGGATGGCGACATATGGGAGCTCACATCTCGCAGATTCAAACCACCGGTCTTCAAGTCAGCAGTTTGACCGGCATAAGGGTTTAACCCATTGTACCACCATAGGTCCTCCCCCCCCCCCCCCCCCCCCCCCCAATGCTGTCTAAGGGGTTGTAGGAGGAATTTTGCCACATTGCTATTCGGCATCTGTATCAACAACTTGGATGGCAGAACGGAAGGCATACTTATCAGATTTGCAATGGCACCCAGTTGGGAAGGATAGCGAATACATGCAGCATTAATGAATTCCTTGTTAGGGTTTGGATCCAGTCTCCAAATATTTGGCATTGCAGAGATGCTGAAAATTGTTCATATTTAGAACTTTTACAACATTTGCTGTTCTTGCATTCATTTGGTCTCTTTGTCTGACTCTTTTCTTAGCATGCCTAAAGCATGCCTGGCTAGCTCAGTCGGTAGAGCACGATACTCAGGGTTGTGGGTTTGAGCCCCACATTGGGCGCCAATGTTTAGGGCCTCCTGGTGGCGCAGCATGTTAAACTGCTGAGCTGCTGAACTTGCTGACTAAAAGCTTGGCGGTTCAAATCTGGGGAGCAGGGTGAGTTCCTGTCATTAGCCCCAGCATCTGCCAACCTAACAGTTTGAAAACATGACTAGATCAAAGTAGGGAAGGTAACAGTGCTCCATGCAGTCATGATGGCCATATGACCTAGGAGGTGACTATGGACAACGCCGGCTCTTGGCTTAGAAAGAGAGATGAGCACCACCCCCTAGAGTCGGACACGACTAAACTTAATGTCACGAGAAAAACCTTTACTTTTTTCCTTAGAGCATTATTTCCAAACTAACTCAGTGCCAAAAATGTGGGACAATGAAGGCAGATTTCATTATGCTGAATTCTTACTTTGTTGGAAGGCAGTGTGCTCATTTTGCCCACCCTGTAGCTAGATTCCTGCCTGAAAGATCTAGGTCATTGTCTTATTTATGATAAATGACTTGGATGATGACCTGACGCGTGTATCAAATTTGCAGGTGACACCAAAATGGATAGGACATCTCATGCCCAAGAGGACAAGTTCAGAATCCAAAATGACCTTCACAGATGAGAGCAGTGGTTCTCAACCTGCGGGTCCCTAGGTGTTTTGGCCTACAACTCCCAGAAATCCCAGCCCGTTGACCAGCTGTTAGGATTTCTGGGGACCCACAGGTTGAGGACCTCTGGATTAGAGAGCTGGGCCACAGGTAACAAAATGAATTTAGATGGGGAGAAAAGTATGGCACTGCACAGGATACAGGATAGCAGACACCTGGCTCAAAAATAGTCCACGTGAAAAGGATTTAGGGGTCTGATTAGACCACAGGCTGAACATGAGTAAACCATGTGGTATGGCAGCTAAGAATGAGATTCTAGGCTGCATCAATAGGAATATAGTTTCTAGATCACACTCTATTCGACTTTGATCAGATCTCATCTGGAATACTGTGCCCAGTTTTGTGCAACACATTTCAAGAAGGATATTGACAACCTGGAACATGTCCAAAGAAAAGTGGTCCTCATGATCAAAGGCCTGGAAGTGATGAATTCTCTAAGAATGGCATAGGGAACTAGGTATGTATAGCTTGGAGAACCTGGGATGTGTCCAAAGAAAAGTAGCCCACATGATCAAGGGCATGGAACCCATGAATTTTCTAAGAATAGCATAGGGAACTGGGTATGTTGGAGAACCTGGAACGTGTCCAAAGAAAGGTAGCCCACATGATCAAAGGCATGGAAGCCATGAATTCTCTAAGAGTGGTATAGGGAACTGGGTATGTCTAGCTTGGAGAACCTGGAATTTTTCCAAAGAAAGATAACCCACATGATCAAAGGCCTGGAAGCCACAAATTCTCTAAGAATGGCATAGGGAGCGGGGTATGTTTAGCTTGGGGAACCTAGAACGTGTCCAAAGAAAGGGAGTCCACATGATCAAAAGCCTGGAAGCCACGAATTCTCTAAGAATGGCATAGGGAGCGGGGTATGTTTAGCTTGGGGAACCTAGAACATGTCCAAAGAAAGGTAGTCCACATGATCATAGGCCTGGAAGCCATGAATTCTCTAAGAATGGCATAGGGAGTGGGGTGGGACGTGATAGCCATGTTTAAATATCTGAGGAGGGAACAGGCTCGATTTCTGCTACTCTGGAGACTAGGACATGGAGCAATTCATTCAAGTTGCAGGAAAAAGATTATACCTAAACGTAAGTAAGAACTGATGGTAGGAGCTGTTCAATAGTGGAATATGTTGGCCTTAGTTTGGGGACCCCTGGTATAACTATTTTCTAATTTCTATCATTTTTGAGGAGTAATCTAGATTCTCAATTTTTGGAACTTATTCTGTATGTCTAGCAGGAAATGTATATTTCTCTTTTGTCAGAATATTTCTCCCTCCTTATTTGAAGTTCTACTTCTTTTGTAATCTAAGGAGAAAGTTTTGTGACTCTGTTGTTTCTTTCTCCAGGGGGGTGGGGAACTATAAACAATGGTGAAGAATGCGTTCCAGAGGGCTCCAAAATGGGTTGTCCACTCACAGCACCGGTCTGGAAGGAAGAGGACAGCCTTTCCCAGTGTTGTATGCAGGAAAATGTCTCAGCGAGTCACGAAAAGCCAGAATATCCTCAGGAATCTGATCTGGTGGAGGAACCAATGGACTCAGCTCCTTGCGGAGAAGTTTGCCAAATCATCAGTGAAACTACAGCTACGGTCCCCATTGGAATGGAGTCCAGAAGGAGACGAAACGCCTGTGGGTCATATGGGAGAAGCTCCAGCCTCCCTATGAGAACTCGCACAGGAGGTAAACCAGTCCGATGCCCGATCTGTGGGAAATACTTCCTTTGTAGCTCAAAGCTTCTCGTCCACCAAAGAAGCCATGTTGGGGAGAAAGCCTACAAGCGGTTATACCTGTATGGAGGCCAGCACATGTGCCCCACTGACCTCCATGCCAATTGTCCAGGCCAGGCTGCCATGTTCCACAAAATGGTCCCTCGAATGCGTGGCCAGCGGTGGGAAGGCAAGGAGGTCGTGGCCTTGCTCAACGGGATCAAGTCCAGCCCTGCTCTGGCCCTGTTCATGAGCAGCAGCTCCCAGAGGGGGCAACAACACTGGGAAAAAATCAAGGACCAGCTCCAGGCTCAAGGATACACCCGGAACATAGACCAGCTGAGGTCGAAATGGAAACAGCTGAAGACAGACTTTTTCGCAGCCGGCCGACCTGCGGCAGAAGGAAAAGAGAGGCCGCCCATTATACCACCTTATTTCAATCGGATGCGGAGCGTGTGGGATGCAGCTGGGAGGCCCCCCTTCAAAGATCGGCACCTACCAGGTCAGTTCGATGCTTTTGGTTGTGATTCTGTATTATGGTTAATAGTATCATGTCTCAGCACCACGTCTGCTGGCGCTGCTGTAAAAGGATTGGGCGACGAACACACACACACACATACACAAAAATCTCTATTGTCTTAACCTGAGCGAACATCTCTCCAGGAACCTCTAGGTCCTCCAGTGAGATTTTATGGTCACCTTCTGTCAAAGGATGGATATGACTGAAAAGGTTCTTACTGGGGATCTCGGGTTTTAGTTGACAATAGAATTGCACTGTGAGAGCTGGACCTTAGGGAAGGCTGAGCGAAGGAAGAGAGATGCTTTTGAGCTGTGGTGTTGGAGGAAAGTCCTGAGAGTGCCTTGGACGGCGAGAAGATCCAACCAGTCCATCCTCCAGGAAATAAAGCCCGACTGCTCACTGGAGGGAAGGATACTAGAGGCAAAGATGAAGCACTTTGGCCACATCATGAGGAGACAGCAAAGCCTAGAGAAGACAATTATGCTGGGGAAAGTGGAAGGCAAAAGGAAGAGGGGCCGACCAAGGGCAAGATGGATGGATGGCATCCTTGAAGTGACAGGACTGACCTTGAAGGAGCTGGGGGTGGTGACGGCCGACAGGGAGCTCTGGCGTGGGCTGGTCCATGAGGTCACGAAGAGTCGGAGACGACTGAACGAATGAACAACAACAGAATTGCACTGGAGGGTTAGATTTCTTGTTATTGAATCATAGAATCAAAGAGTTGGAAGAGACCTCATGGGCCATCCAGTCCAACCCCATTCTGCCAAGAAGCAGGAATATTGCATTCCAAGCACCCCTGACAGATGGCCATCCAGCCTCTGTTTAAAAGCTTCCAAAGAAGGAGCCTCCACCACACCCTTGGGCAGAGAGTTCCACTGCTGAACAGCTCTCACAGTCAGGAAGTTCTTCCTCATGTTCAGATGGAATCTCCTTTCTTGTAGTTTGAAGCCATTGTTCCATGTCAAAGTTGTTGTTGGGTTGTTGTAGGTTTTTCCGGGCTATATGGCCATGTTCTGGAGGCAGTTTTTCTCCTGACGTTTCGCCTGCATCTATGGCAAGCATCCTCAGAGGTAGTGAGGTAGTGTTGTTGTTTATTTGTTCAGTCGCTTCTGACTCTTTGTGACTTTTCTGACTCTTTGTGACCTCATGGACCATCCCATGCCAGAGCTCCCTGTCGGCCGTCACCACCCCCAGCTCCTTCAGGGTCAAGCCAGTCACTTCAAGGAGACCATCCACCCATCTTGCTCTTGGTCGGCCCCTCTTCCTTTTTCCTTCCATTTTCCCCAGCATCATTGTCTGCTCTAAGCTTTCCTGTCTTCTCATGATGGGGCCTGTAATCTCTTTCCCTCCAGTGAGCAGACGGGGTTTATTTCCTGAAGTATGGACTGGTTGGATCTTTTCACTGTCCAAGGTACTCTCAGAATTTTCCTCCAACACCACGGCTCAAAAGCATAATAATATAATAAAACTTTATTTATATACTGCTCCATCTCTCCGAGGGGACTCAGAGCAGTTACCAGGTAACATTACAAAAGTAAAAAACAACATAACCATAAGATTAACAAAACAAAATATAAGCATAAAAATTGTCGCCATAACACACATATATTAAAAGTAATCCTGCCTGTTCAAGGCAATTTGAAAATTTAAAAGGCCGGGCCAAGATTTGTGCAAGCCCAAAAATTCTAGGGGGGGGGGGGGAATTAAGTGCAATGCTATGGCAGGCAACAATAATATTAGGTACGGGTCTGTGGCTGTCCATTCCAGGGCCGATTAGAGGAAGTGATCTGGGTAACTGGTAGGAAGAATAAGGCCGTATTCAACAATGTGTAGGGCTGAGTTATTTATTTCGAGCACTTCTACCCCACCCTTCTCAACCCCCGAGGGGGGGCTCAGTTAGAACTGGTCATTTTCAAAGGCTTGTTGAAACCACCAGGTCTTCAAGCTCTTACCAAAGGAGGGGAGGGATGGGGCCTGTCTTATTTCCCTTGCTTTGTGGTCTATTGTATGAACAGCCCAATACCTTTTCTATGCATCTTAACAGACTGTGGAGGTTGGTGCCTTCTCTGCCACTGGGGCAGTACATCTACTGTGGTTGCTATTTTGCCAAACCGGTTGACATCACAGAAAGCTCCTTTAAAGTTTGGACTGAAACTCAGCAGATCCACTTCCCCGCTAGCATCAGTGTCGCCAGCCTCTTAAATATGTGAGAGGAAGTCACAGGGAGGAGGGAGCAAGCTTGTTTTCTGCTTCCTTGGAGACTAGGACGCGGAACAATGGCTTCAAACTACAAGAGAGGAGATTCCATCTGAACATGAGGAAGAACTTCCTGACTGTGAGAGCCGTTCAGCAGTGGAACTCTCTGCCCCGGAGTGTGGTGGAGGCTCCTTCTTTGGAAGCTTTAAAGCAGAGGCTGGATGGCCATCTGTCAGGGGTGATTTGAATGCAATATTCCTGCTTCTTGGCAGAATGGGGTTGGACTGGATGGCCCATGAGGTCTCTTCCAACTCTTTGATTCTATGATTCTGCTAACTAATAAGGGACTATTTTCTGTGCCATTTTATCATTTTCTCCTCCTGCTTTGCAGCCTCTTATCGAGCCCGAAGGCGTGAGCTAGAGAGACGTGAGGACGAAGACGGCGACGTGATAGCGCAAGGCTCTTCTTGCTGACAGAGGGAGGGAAGATCCAGAAGTATCCACCAACAACCATTGGTGCTGTTGTGTGCATGGTTGACATACACCAGCAACAGAAAGATGCAACTGGGGAAGCATTCTCAAGAGCATGATTGCTTAGCATAAAGACAATAGAACCACCACCATAATTATCACCAGGGCAGGTCCTCTCACTGGGCAGGGTGAGGCAGATACTTCAAGCTCCTTCATCCTGGTCGCAGAGCCAATGTTGTTGGAGGAGGAGGCGGTTGTGTGCCAAAGAGTGTGCTTAGTGCCTACTAAGATACACTGTCTTGAAGTGCAGGGAAGGATAGTCTTTTCTCTAATGAGGAAATTCAGTGGCCAGTCCAGTTGGTTCCTACAAGGGTTATCTGTAAAGTAAGCTTACAAATACAAAGAATGAATATATTTTCGTAGATTGTAGTATAGGCATTACCATATTTTCCCACATAATCACCATTCAGGTCCATACATTTCGTCATCCGTGGGACAAGTTTTGATGCCTGTGTGATAAAAGTTTCCCGCCACCTTTTTCAGCCAGTTCGTCACTTTGATTTTCACCTTGTTGTCGTTAACAACACTTTATTTGTACCCAGCTAACATCTCCCCAGAGCTGAGCTTGTTGATTGAAAGGTCGCAGGTTCGATTCCGGGGAGCAGCGTGAGATTCCGCTGTCAGCCCTAGCTTCTGCCAACCTAGCAGTTCGAAAACATGCAAATGTGAGTAGATCAATAGGTACCGCTCCGGCGGGAAGGTAACAGTGCTCCATGCAGTCATGCCGGCCACATGACCTTGGAGGTGTCTACGGACAACGCTGACTCTTCGGCTTAGAAATGGAGATGAGCACCACACCCCAGTCAGACATGACTGGACTTAATGTCAGGGGACTACCTTTACCTTTACCTTACCATCTCCCCAGGAGACTCGGTGCGGCTTACATGAGGCCAAGCCCAAAATACAACAATACAAGCAATAACAACAACAATACAAGCAATTTAAAAACAACAAGACAATCAAACAATAACATAAGCATTATCAATAGGACAACACCCTTTCATTTAGTGAATATATTTATTTATTTTGTATCAATAACATTGCATAAATGAGTATAAAACTTGTAAAAATAGAAGGAGCACAGTCGGATAAATATCTTTTGACCAAAAACGGGCAACAGTAATGGCATTGTCTGTAGCCTCCATCAATTCTTCCTCTGTACATGAGGCAGGGCATAGTGGACAAGCATACAGATGCGGAGTTCTCTGTTCTGCTCCACAGACACACAAGACGTGGGATTCTTTTAGGTCGTGCCATTTTGCTAGGTTGTCTTTTGATCTGCCCACTCCACTTCTGAGTCTGTTCAGGGACTTCCAAGTTGCTCATTCTTGGTTTGGCCCTGGAGGAAGACCCCCTCTTGTGGAGAGCCATCCAGTTGGGATTTCCTGGTCTAGCTGCCCAGAGGGATACCCTTGCTGTTGCTGGAGGGATGCCAAGAGGAGTGGTCATTCTCATGAAGCTTTTCCTTGATTTGAGTCTACTGGGAGGAGGCTGGTAGCCATGCAGTGGGTGGCTTTCAAAGTGTTCAACCTTATTTCTCTCACATTTAGCAGCAACTTCCCATCGCACATCGGGGGGGGGGGGGGGGCAATGCCACCTAGATTGTAGAGTTTATCAACAGGTGTAGGTTTAAGACATCCTGTGGTTATTCTGCATGTTTCATTCAATGCTATGTTCACCCGCTTTGCATGGGCAGACTTATGCCATACTCGTCAGTTGAGTTAAGTGAACAGATAAGTCACTGGGTGCAAGATTGGGACTGTGAGAGGCAAGGCTTAAAACACCCCAACCAAATGAAGTCAACAACTCTTGTGTTGCATGAACTGTGTGCGGACATGAATTGTCATGGGGGAGACTGACTCCCGCCATCAGCATCCCACAACATTTGTTTTGGATGGCTCTGTGAAGCTTCTTCATGGCGTCACAATATACTCCATTTTCATTTTGTCACATGCTGCCTTGACATTAAGTCCTCTCCATAAACGGAAATGATTTCACAATGAGTCACAGCAGCTGGGTTGTTGTAGGTTTTTTCGGGCTGTATGGCCATGGTCTAGAGGCATTCTCTCCTGACATTTCACCTGCATCTATGGCAAGCAACCTCACTACCTCTGAGGATGCTTGCCATAGATGCAGGCGAAATGTCAGGAGAGAATGCCTCTAGGCCATGGCCATACAGCCCGAAAAAACCTACAACAACCCAGTGATCCCAGCCATGAAAGCCTTCGACAATACATTAATCACAGCAGCGTTCATGCCCTTAGCATTTAGATAGCAGATTACAGCGAAAACTTTGCACTTTGAGGGAAACTAACCTTCACCACAGCGCCAGTTGATGAGCTACTGACGGCTGGCACTGCTCGTTTGCTTTGCTTCTCCAAATACACGGCAGCGATACCAACTTCCCCGCAAGAGCTACATGCTTTGTAACCTTACTTTCTGGATAACCCTCACATATCTGGAAGGGGCCTCCTTGTCCTTTGACTCAGGCAATGAAATATGTTGTGGTGACTCCAAAATTAGCAATACGTGATACTCTTTTCATGCTCTGTATAATGTACCTTTAAAAATGGGTGGGGGCATGCTATAATAAGCACTTTTAGGGTTTGGAGGCTGGGGAGCATTAATCAAAATTACCCTTTGGTAGGTGGAGAATGAAGCACTCCTCTTTCTACCCGCATGGGATGCACTCCTTCCCGTTCCCCTCCAGGCTCGGCGTTTAAAAAGTTTTTGTTAGAAGTTTGCACCAGTTTGTTTCACAGCATTATTAGGTATGTATATATGCATATAATAATATTTATTTATCGTGTCAGAAGCGAATTGAGACTACTGTTACACTGTACAGAAAAAACATAAAAGTTTAAAACTTGGCATTATACTAAATTTGCTTGGAGTGCCTCTGGTGTTGCTGTAAGAAGTTCATCCACTGTGCATGTGGGAGCGGTCTCTTTCTCTCTTTCTATATATATACTAGCCATCCCCTGCCACGCGTTGCTGTGGCTCACTCTAGTGATCATGGGGGTTCTGTGTGGGAGGTCTGACCCAATTCCGTCATTGGTGGAGTTCAGAATGCTCTTTGATTGTAGGTGAACTACAAATCCCAGCAACTACAACTCCCAAATGTCAAGATTCTATTTTCCCCAAACTCCACCAGTGTTCACATTTGGGCATATTGAATATTTGTGTAGAGTTTGGTCCAGACCCATCATTGTTCGAGTCCACAGTGCTCTCTGGATGTAGGTGAACTACAACTCCAAAACCAAAGGATACTGCCCACCAAACCCTTCCAGTATTTTCTGTTGGTCATGGGGGAACTGTGTGCCAAGTTTGGTTCAATTCCATCATTGGAGAGGTTCAGAATGTTCTTTGATTGTAGGTGAACTATAAATCCCAGCAACTACAACTCCCAAATGACAAAATCATTTTTTTTGAGTGAAGGACATACATTGGGTTGTTAGGTGTATCGTGTTCAAATTTGGTGCCAATTCATCCAGGGGTTTCTGAGTTCTGTGAATACCACAAACGAACATTACATTTTTATTTATATAGATATATGAGAGAGATTTTTATCCCGCCGCATCTCCCTGAGGGGACTCAGGGCAGATTACAACAAAAAATTGGCAAATATTCAATGCCAACAAACATAACAAAAACAGGTCAAATCAAATATTCCCTTTCCCAAGGAGGGGGCTGAAAGCAGCTCATAATTTAGAACAACAAATACAATGAAAGCATTAAGAAATGAAGCAGAACACTGAAACTGCATCAATGAAAGGCAAGGGAAGGCACCCACCCAACTGAAAACCCCTCTCTCCTACTTATTTATTTGCATAGAGTAATGAAAACACAGGGACTTTTGATGCTTATGTTATAGTAAGTGCTAAAGTTATGTGTTCTATATATTAAAAAAAATAAATCAAGGCCGAATCTTTCCAATGCTGTCATGTCTTTTGCTTCAACAACACCAAATTAGGAGGGATAGCCAAGACACCAGAGGACAGGGGCAGGATTCAAAACGATCTTGACAGATTAGAGAGATGATTGGCCAAAACTAACAAAATGAAGTTCAACGAGGACAAATGCAAGATACTCCACTTTGGCAGAAAAAACAAAATGCAAAGATACAGAATGGGGGACAGTGCCTGGCTCGAGAGCAGGACGTGTGAAAAAGATCTTGGAGTCCTCGTTGACAACAAGATAAACATGAGCCAACAATGTGATGTGGCGGCAAAAAAAGCCAATGGGATTTTGGCCTGCATCAATAGGAGCATAGTGTCTAGATCTAGGGAAGTCATGCTCCCCATGCTCTATTCTGCCTTGGTTAGACCACACCTGGAATATTGTGTCCAATTCTGGGTACCACAATTAAAGAGAGATATTGACAAGCTGGAATGTGTCCAGAGGAGGGCGACTAAAATGATCAAGAGTCTGGAGAACAAGCCCTATGAGGACTGGATGGCCCATGAGGTCTCTTCCAACCCTTTGATTCTAATGGATATATTTGCTTCAACGCGCTCTATGTGAGGTTGCCTTTGGAGACTGTTCAGTAGCTTCCAATGGTCCAATGGGCGGCAGCCAGGTTGCTCACCGGAGCGACGTTCAGGGAGCATACAACCCTTCTGCTGTGCCAACCCCACTGCCTTCCAGTTGGCTACCGGGCACAATTCGAAGTGCTGGTTTTAGCCTATAAAGCTCTCAATGGTTCTGGCCCAGCTTACCTGTCCAAATGTATTTCTCCTTATGAATCATCTAAGAGTTTAAGGTTGCCAGGGAGGCCCTTCTCTCAGTCCTGCCTTCTTTGCAGACACGGGTGGTGTCTCATCCCTTCTAAGTGGTGGCCCCTTGGTTGTGGAACACCCTCCCCAGGGATATTAGATCAGAAAAAAGTGAAAATGTGGCTATTTGAACAAGTCTTCAGAATCTAATGCAACAGTCAACCACGGTATTAGTAGAAAGTGAACATTGGAATGACTCAGACGACGATTTATGGACACAAAGGAGGAGGGCGACTCAAAGGATCAAGGGCATGGAGAACAAGTCCTATGAGGAGTGGCTTAAAGACCTGGGCACGTTTAGCCTTCAGAATAGAAGGCTGAGAGGAGACATGATGAGGGCCATGTATAAGTATGTGAGAGGAAGTCAGAGGGAGGAGGGAGCAAGCTTGTTTTCTGTTGCCCTGGTGACTAGGACACAATGGAACAATCGGGTTCAAATCATAGAATCAAAGAGTTGGAAGAGACCTCATGGGCCATCCAGTCCAACCCCCTGCCAAGAAGCAGGAATATTGCATTCAAATCACCCCTGACAGATGAACATCCAGCCTCTGTTTAAAAGCTTCCAAAGAAGGAGCCTCCACCACACTCCGGGGCAGAGAGTTCCACTGCTGAACAGCTCTCACAGTCAGGAAGTTCTTCCTAATGTTCAGATGGAATCTCCTTTCTTGTAGTTTGAAGCCATTGTTCCGTCCTAGTCTCCAGGGAAGCAGAAAACAAGCTTGCTCCCTCCTCCCTGTGGCTTCCTCTCACATATTTATGCATGGCTATCATATCTCCTCTCAGCTTTCTCTTCTTCAGGCTAAACATGCCCAGCTCCTTAAGCTGCTCCTCATAGGGCTTGTTCTCCAGACTCTTGATCATTTTAGTTGCTCTCCTCTGGACACATTCCAGCTTGTCAATATCTCTCTTGAATTGTGGTGCCCAGAATTGGACACAATATTCCAGATGTGGTCTAACCAAAGCAGAATAGAGGGGTAGCATTACTTCCTCAGATCTAGACACTAGGCTCCTATTGATGCAGGCCAAAATCCCATTGGCTTTTTTTGCCGCCACATCACATTGTTGGCTCATGTTTAACTTGTTGTCCACGAGGACTCCAAGATCTTTTTCACACGTACTGCTCTCGAGCCAGGCCTTGTTCCCCATTCTGTATCTTTGCAATGGCTTCAAACGACAAAAAAGGAGATTCCACCTGAACATTAGGAAGAATTTCCTAATGGTGAGAGCTGTTCAGCAGTGGAACTCTTTGCCCCGGAGTGTGGTGGAGGTTCCTTCTTTGGAGGCTTAAACAGAGGCTGGATGGCCATCTGTCAGGGGTGCTTTGAATGGATTTTCCTGCTTCTTGGCAAGGGGTTGGACTGGATGGCCGATGAGGTCTGTTCCAACTCCATGATTCTATGAAGTGTGCATTAGATTCGATGGTGCGTGAGAATTGTGCATGTAAAGCTGCCCACATCCATCCCACAGGCCGATGCTGACAAGTTTGCCAACCTCGTCCTGATGGGAGAACATGCCGAGGTGGGCAGAAGAATGGCTGACAGGCAAGGGGCAGCTGTACAATACATTAGACCACTCATCCTTTTCCTTGCAGTGTGCACAATCAATGGCATATTATATCACAGTATTTATTTATTTACAATTTTTAGATTCCTCGCTTCTCACCCCAAAGGGGATTCAGAGCAGATCACAAAGCACACATTCACGGCAAACACTCAATGCCATTTTCTAGACATACAGACAGACAAGCAGAGGTATTTTTGGTATTTCCACTTCGGTGCCTGGTGGTAATGCTCAATTCCAGCCAGAGGGGGAGCTGTTGCTTCATCCACTATGACGCCAAGTCATTTGATCATATTTCCTCCTTGTTCTTTGACCGCTGGCATTTTTATGGTGTCGTAAAATACCCCCCTGGTTTAAGTGGTCCCTAATTTCTCTACTCACAGCTCAGCTGTTTTCAAACTGCTTAGGTGGACAGTAAACTAGGCTTAACAGTCAGGTGCTCAATCCGACTCAGGCTTCGAACAAGTCACCTTCCGGTTGGTAGTGATATATTGCAGCTGATGATTATCTGGTGACTGCTACAGCCTGGCCGAGTATTTATATTCGAGTAAATACTGGTAAATTTGAATAATTTCCAGTATCCCTGTATGAATCCCTGGTTGTTCATAACCTCTCAATTTTTTAGTCTACTGGAGGTGGCACAATGGATTAAACCCTTGTGCTGGCAGGACTGAAGATGGATAGGTCGCAGGTTTGAATCCAGGGAGAGTGCGGATGAGCTCCCTCTCTCAGCTCCAGCTCCCCATGCGGGGACATGAGAGAAGCCTCCCACAAGGATGGTAAAACATCAAAACATCCTGGCATCCCCTGGGCAATGTCCTCGCAGACGGCCAATTCTGTCACACCAGAAGCGACTTGCAGTTTCTCAAGTTGCTCCTGACACACACACACACACACACACACACACACACACACACAAACTACTGGAATTTTAACCCCTTTTTTCTTATGTGGACTTTCTGGTGAGTCACAAGATTTGAATTCTGAGCAAAACATTTTCCGCACTCCTGACACTGGAATGGCTTCTCTCCTGTGTGGACTCTCTGGTGGCTCACAAGGTATGCATTCTGAGAAAACCCTTTCCCGCACTCCTGGCATTTGAAAGGTTTCTCCCCCGTATGTACTCTCTGATGCCTGGCCAAATTAGAATTGCAAGTAAAATACTTCCCACAGTCCTGGCATTTGTACGGGTTTTCTCTTGGGGGAACTCTTACTTGAGTATCAAGGCTTACATCGTGAGTTAAGGCCTCACAGTCTTGGTAGGAGTACGGCTTCTCTCCCATGTGGATACGCTGGTGGCCTACAAGATGCGACTTCTGTGCAAAACATCTCCCACAGTCCTGGCATCTGTATGGCTTCTCCCCCGTGTGCACTCTCTGGTGAACCACAAGGTCTGACTTGTGAGCAAAACGTTTTCCACACTCCTGGCATTTGTATGGTTTCTCTCCTGTGTGGACTTTTTGGTGTCCTAGGAGGTGTGCGTTCTGAGAAAAATGTTTCCCACACTGCTGGCATTTGTATGGTTTCTCTCCCGTGTGGACTCTCTGATGAGGCATAAGATCCGACTTATTAGCAAAACACTTCCCACACTCCTGGCACCTGTATGGTTTCTCTCCTGTGTGGACTCTCAGGTGTGAAATAAGCTCTGCCTTGCGAACAAAACATTTCCTGCACTCATGGCATTTGTAGGGTTTCTCTCCCGTGTGCACGATCTGGTGCTTCACAAGGTGTGAATTGTGGGCAAAGTATTTCCCACACTCCTGGCATTTGTATGGCTTCTCGCCGCTGTGAATTCTCTGGTGGATCAAGAGAGTCGAGTTCTGGGCAAAACCTTTCCCGCATTCTTGACACATATACGGCTTCTCTCCAGTGTGGACTCTTTGGTGGATCACAACTTGCGAATGCCGAGCAAAGCCTTTTCCACACTCCTGGCATTTGTATGGTTTCTCTCCTTTGTGGAGTCTCTGATGAGTCGCCAAGTTGGATTTCCGAGTAAAACAATTTCCACATTCCATACATCCGTAAGGTTTGTCATCGCTTGTGTTGATGCTCTCATATTTCACAAGGTCCAACTGGGGACTTATCTGGTATCTCCCAAAGTTGGAATCCTGAGCAAAACACTGCCTCTCCTCCTGGCATCTGTATGGTTCTTCTCCTGAGAAGTTGAAGGTGCAACCCAAGTTTTTCATTCCAAGGTGGGCCTTCTTGTGAAGAATAAATGATCTCTTTTGATCAAAATGCTTTCCACATGGGGTGCATTCGTGGGACTTCTTTCTGACTAAGTTTTCATCTTCCTCTTGTACATGGCAGCGCTGGTGCCGAGCAAGATCCAATTTGTGTGCAAAACACTTCCAGCATTGGTGGCAGACATTTGTTTTCCTGAAATTATCTGTTGAGAAGAAAGAAAAACAGAAACAAATGAAGTATGACAGAAAAGGAATGGCCTATTTTGCATGGTGTGTAGAGCAGGGCGTGGAGAAATGGATTCAAATAGCAGGAGAGCACCTGGTTGGTAGAATGGCCCCGTCCCACTCGGGGGCCCACTGGAATGGCAGTTAAAGATGGTGGGAGGGTCTCTAAATAGCTGCAAGAGAATACCTGGTTGGTATAATGGCATCCTCCCACTCAGGGCCTACTGGAATGACAGTTAAAGATGGGGGGGGGGGGGTCTCTCCGCTGCTGCAGGAGAGTACCTGGTTGGTAGAATGGCCCCCTCCCACTCAGGTTATGATGGAATGGCAGTTAAAGATGGAGGGTCTGTAAATAATAATAATAATAATAATACTTTATTTGTACCCTGCTATTATCTCCTGAAGGACTCGGTGCGGCTTACAAGAGGCCGAGCCCAAATACATCAGTAAAACAACAACAATACAACAGTAAATAAACGCATAAACAAGCAGTAAACATTAACAATAACACCACGACGCATTAAAAGAACCCATGGCAGGGCCAAATGTAATAATTAAAATTGTTAAAAAATGCTGGGCATGACCAGGTGAAATAGGATAGGTATTTTGAAGATAGGTGGGGCGTACAGACAATCCTAGATCTCTAATAAAGTGCATTTGGGACAAATTGCTTGGAGTTTCCTTATTCTGGGAAGGCACACTGGAACAACCACGTTTTCAAGCTCCTCCCAAAGTGTTGGGGCATGCCTGATGTCCTTGGGGAGTGAGTTCCAGAGTCGAGGGGCCACCACCGAGAAGGCCCTGTCCCTCGTCCCCACCAATCGCGCTTGTGATGCAGGTGGGATCACGAGCAGGGCCTCTCCAGATGAACGAAGAGATCGTGTGGGTTCGTAAACGGAAACACGGGTCACGCAAGTAGGCGGGTCCCAAACCGTTTAGGGCTTTGTAGGTAAGAACCTGCACCTTGAATTGAGACCGGGAAATGAACGGCAGCCAATGGAGCTCCTTGAACAGGAGGGTTGACCTCTCCCTGTAAGGAGTGCCAGTTAACATCCTGGCTGCCTCCTGCTGAACCAATTGAAATTTCCGGGCCGTTCTCAAGGGCAGCCCCACGTAGAGTGCATTACAGTAGTCCAATCTAGAGGTGACTAAGGCATGGACCACCCTGGCCAGATCTGCCTGTTAGAGAGTACCTCATGGGTAGAATGACCCCCTCCCACTCGGGATGGTGGAATGGCAGTTAAAGATGGAAGGAGGGTCTCCAAAGGGCTGCTGGGGAGTGCCTGGTGGGTAGGCTGGCTCCCTCCCACTCAGCAGCCAGTGGCATGGCAGTTAAAGATGGAGAGAGGGTGTCTTATGCTATTGGATTTTAACAGTGATAATAATAATAAACTGAATATACATTTAGAGCATCATAACGCAGGATAAGATACATCACAGCATTTTCAGTGTTTGCAATACTGATATTGCAAGGGGCTGCTGGAATGTATATATATTTTGTATATTTTAAATTGTACGCTAATGCTTTTATGTTAAGCCGCTTTGAGTCTCCTTCGGGAGAGATAAAGCAGGTTATAAATACTAATACCAATAATAATAATAATAATCAATTTAATATACATTTAGAGCACCATAAAACAGGATAAAATACATCACACCATTTTCAGTACTTGCAAAAAAACATTATCTTAAAAAATAACATGTAAAAGTAACTTGACTGTATTACCTATGGTAGCAATGCAAGTAATGCCATTCTCATTCATTATGTTATTTATTTATTTATTTATTTATTTATTTGCTATACTTGTATACCACCGTTTCTCAGCCTAGCCGGCGACTCAACGCGGTTTACAACAACTTATAACAAACAACAGTATACAGTTTAAAAACATAAAAACACAATCCACAATACATATATCAATAAACAATCCAATTCATCTCTTGACTAAAATCGCGATCCAGTTTCGTCGTCCAAATTGCCAGTCCTTCAATCATTACACTTATTGCACTGAGTTAACCGAACGCCTGCTCGAACATCCAGGTTTTTAGTCTTTTCCGGAATACCATCAATGAGGGGGCTGATCTTACCTCCATGGGGAGGGCGTTCCATAGCCGCGGGGCCACCACAGAAAAGGCCCTGTCTCTCGTCCCCGCCAGCCGCACCTGTGAAGCAGGCGGGATAGAGAGCAGGGCCCCCCAGAAGATCTTAGGGTCCTGGTGGGCTGATAGGCCGAGATACGTTCGGATAGGTAAGTTGGGCCAGAACCGTTTAGGGCTTTAAAGGCCAACGCCAGCACTTTGAATTGAGCCCGGTAGCAAATCGGCAGCCAGTGGAGCTGGTGCAGCAGAGGAGTTGTATGCTCCCTGCGCTCCGCTCCTGTTAGTATCATGGCTGCCGAGCGTTGGACTAATGGAGCTTCCGGGCCGTCTTCAAAGGCAACCCCACGTAGAGAGCGTTGCAGTAGTCTAAACGGGATGTAACCAGAGCGTGGACTACCGTGGCCAAGTCAGACTTCCCAAGGTACGGGCGCAGTTGGCGCACGAGTTTTAACTGTGCGAATGCTCCCCTGGTCACCGCTGAAACCTGGGGTTCCAGGCTCAACGATGAGTCCAGGATCACACCCAAACTGCGAACCTGCGTCTTCAGGGGGAGTGCGACCCCATCCAACACAGGCTGTAACCCTATACCCTGTTCGGCCTTACGACTGACCAGGAGTACCTCTGTCTTGTCTGGATTCAATTTCAATTTGTTCACCCTCATCCAGACCGTCACAGCGGCCAAGCACCGGTTCAGGACCTCGACAGCCTCCTTAGTAGCAGGTGGAAAGGAGTGACAGAGTTGGACATCATCCGCGTACAGATGACATCGCACTCCGAAACTCCGGATGATCTCACCCAGCGGCTTCATGTAGATGTTAAACAACATGGGAGACAGTATTGAACCCTGAGGAACCCCACAAGACAAAGGTTGGGGGGTTGAACAGGAGTCTCCCCAGTAACACCTTCTGAGACCGACCCTCCAGGAATGAGCGGAGCCACTGTAAAACAGTCCCTCCAAGACCCATTCCCGCGAGGCGTCCCAGAAGGATACCGTGGTCGACGGTATCGAAGGCCAAAGAGAGGTCCAGCAGCACCAACAGAGTCACACTCCCCCTGTCGAGCTCCCGGCGCAGATCATCCACTAAGGCGACCAAGGCTGTCTCGGTACCATGCCCCGGCCTAAAGCCAGACTGTGCCGGGTCCAGATAATCCGTGTCTACCAAGAATGCCTGGAGTTGTGAGGCCACCACACGTTCCAAGACTTTGCCCAAGAAGGGGAGATTGGAAACTGGCCGATAGTTGACGAATTGAGTGGGGTCCAGTGATGGTTTCTTCAACAGCGGTTTTATTACAGCTTGTTTTAAGCTGGCTGGAATTTGCCTTCCCGAAGGGAGGCATTAACCACCACCTTCACCCACTCGGCCAATCCCCCTCTGGCCTCCTTCAGAAGCCAGGATGGGCAGGGGTCTAGGATGCATGTGGTAGCTCTCATTCCTCCAAGCACCTTGTCCACATCCTCGGACTGAACCAATTGAAATGAATCCATCAAAACTGGACAAGCAGATGCTCGTGTTACATCCTCAGAGACTGCCGTTAATATGGTGTCCAGACCAGAGCGGATCAAAGCGACTTTGTCTGCAAAGAACTGAGCAAAGGCTTCACAGCGAACTGCCGAGTCATCAGGGCACCCATCCTGGATGGTGGGTTTTAAAAGGCCTCTGACAACTCGGAACAGTTCAGCCAGACGGTTCTTTGCAGACGCAATAGTAGCCGCAAAGAAGATTTTCTTTGCGGCCTTTATTGCCGCGGCATATGCCCTTAAAAAGGACACAAACCGTGTTCGGTTTGGCTCGCTCGGATCCGAACGCCACACGCTCTCTAGTTCCCTCTTCTTTCGCTTCAACGCTGCCAGCTCCTCAGTGAACCAGTTAGCTCGGCTACTTGAGAGGGGACGTTCTGGAGCGATCGTGTCTATTGCTCTAGCCATCTCCCCATTCCAGAGGAGCGACCAGGGCATCGACAGGATCACCAACCGAGGAGGCGGGAAATTCCCCAGGAGCCGTCAGGAATCCATCCGGATCCATAAGCCTCCTGGGGCGGACCAACTTAATGGGTCCTCCACCTCTGCGGAGGTTAGGGGGTGCAGTGAGTCTAAAGCTGACCAGGTGGTGGTAGGTCCATGGCAACGGAGAGATGGATAACTCCTCAACACCGCCACCTTCCTCCCATCCCTGGCAGAAAACCAAGTCCAATGTGTGTCCAGCACTGTGGGTGGGGCCAGATACCTGTTGGGACAGCCCCATGGTTGCCATGGCAGACATGAAGTCCTGAGCCGCTCCCGATAAGGTGGTCTCGGCGTGGACATTGAAGTCCCCCAGCACAAGCAGCCGCTGGGACTCCAATGCCAGGTCCGAGACCACCCCCGCTAGCTCAGTCAGGGAGTCTGTGGTGCAGCGAGGTGGACGGTACACTAACAGAATCCCTAATCTGTCCCGGTCACCCACCCTCAGGTGGACGCATTCAAAATTTGTTGACTGCGGGATGGGGGCCCTGGTCAGAAGAATGGAATCTCTATAGACCACTGCAACCCCGCCTCCCCGCCCTCCGGATCTTGGCTGGTGCTGCACAGAGAAACCTGGCGGGCAAAGCTGGGTCAGATTCACACCTCCAGCTTCGTCCAGCCAGGTCTCTGTGATGCACGCCAGATCTGCCCGTTCATTATTGAAATGCAACTACATTGCGCCTGGTCATTGGTTATATTTTGTGATGGCTTACCTAATGGGACGCCCGTTCTGAAGTTAGAGATCTCCACTTGCTTCAGAAGTGGCACATCTGATGCCCACAGCTCTTCTCTTTGACCTGTAGGAGGAATGAATTCAGGATTTGGAAGTGAAGTGAGGAAAAGGAGGATCATAATATTAACAGTCATCACAGTGAGTATTGATGAATGTCTCCTCAATAGAATATTTAATAGAGTCTTTGAGTTGGGTGGGCAGGAATCTGCCACTAAAGCTTTCCTGAAAGGTGCCCATTCTTCCCTTTAAAGAAGAAAAGGAGCCCCTGGTGGCAAAGCAGGTTAAACCGCTGAGCTGCTGAACTTGCTGACTGAAGGTTGGTGGTTCGAATATGGGGAGTGAGGTGAGCTCCTGCTGTTAGCCCCAGCTCCTGACAACCTAGCAGTTCAAAAACAATGCAAATAGGAGTAGATCAATAGGTATCACTCCAGCAGGAGGGCAACGGACCTCCATGCAGTCAGCCACATGACCTTGGAGGTGTCTATGGACAACGCTTCTTGAGCTTAGAAATGGAGATGATCCATCAGAATCATAGAATCAAAGAGTTGGAAGAGACCTCATGGGCCATCCAGTCCAACCTCTGCCAAGAAGCAGGAATGTTGTATTCAAATCACCCCTGACAGATGGCCATCCAGCCTGTTTAAAAGTCTCCAAAGAAGGAGCCTCCACCACACTCTGGGGCAGAGAGTTCCACTGCTGAACGGCTCTCACAGTCAGGAAGTTCTTCCTCATGTTCAGATGGAATCTCCTTTCTTGTAGTTTGAAGCCATTGTTCCGTCCTAGTCTCCAGGGAAGCAGAAAACAAGCTTGCTCCCTCCTCCCTGTGGCTTCCTCTCACATATTTATACATGGCTATCATATCTCCTCTCAGCTTCTTCTTCAGGCTAAACATGCCCAGCTCCTTAAGCTGCTCCTCATGGGGCTTGTTCTCCAGACCCTTGATCATTTTAGTAGCCCTCATCTGGACACATTCCAGCTTGTCAATATCTCTCTTCAATTGTGGTGCAATATTCCAGACGCGACTGCGAAAGTAGTGGGACCGAGAGCAGGGCCCCCTCCTGATTCCAGGTGTGGTCTGACCAAGGCAGAATAGAGCATGGGTAGCATAGCTTTCCTTCAGACATAGCCATATGACATGCCCTCACTCCGTCTCAACTGCCACTGCTTTGCATTCAGAGAGAGAAGAAGAAAAGGCAGGCCCAGCTCCATTCTCCAACTAAAGCAAGTTCCTTACCAAGAGATGCCATCGTCTCATAGTTGTCCATCATGACCTTCCTGTACAGAGATCTCTGGCTAAGATCCAGCAGATCCCACTCCTCTTCTGTAAAATACACAGCCACTTCTCCAAAAGTCACTGGTTCCTGCAACCAAAAAACAGTTCAGATCAGAAAGATGAACTCAGTCTGGAGAAAAAATACATGCATTGTCTTAACAAAACGCAATCAGAATACAGGTGAGGTAAACATGAGTTCAAATCAACCTCTTGGCCATGTAAGTGTGCTGGATGACTTTGGGTAAGTCACACTTGTGTGGACTCTTCACAGGAATTTTGTATCTCCTCAAACACTAGCTTGTCTTTTTATATCATTTTTGTTGAATTTAGTAAATACAAACACAGGGTTTTGCACTGCAACCCTCGGGTATACAGCTTACAGCTCCAAATGAGGATGTGGTGTCCACTATATAGGCTGGCTGATAAAAACTTCCCTATAAAGAATTAGTACAATATTTGGGCTGTTCATATCCAAATCCTGAAGTTATATCCAAATCCTTAATGATAAATAGTTCTTGTCCTCATTGCTGCTATATGTTGTTTGCACTGTACTCCTTAGTGCTATCCTCTAATGTTGTGGCACCAATCCTCCCACCCACGACAAGACACTGAACTTTGCTTTTGGTTGTTGGTTCTGATATTCATTTTATATACTGTTTAATGGTTGTTGTTTTTACTTCCTCTTATTGGTTTCGTTATTATTTTCTTAACGTGCATTTTAATGTGATATGTTTTAACTATTCTGTTGGGTTTGGCCCCATGTAAGCCGCCCCGAGTCCCTTTGGGGAGATGGAGGTGGGGTATAAAAATAAAATTGTTATTATTACTATTGTTATGATTATTATTATTATTATACTGACACAAAAACACAGTATGTCACAGCAAACGAGATTTATATGCTGGATTTCGTATTTTGTTGTTGTTGTTATTATCATTATTCAGATTGTAAAAAAAAAGACAAGGGGAAACAAGAGTGGCAGTAAGAGCCTTGGGATGCTCAGTAAGATGCCCACACTGGACGTGCCCATCACAGTTAGGAATGCCATGACAAAATTTTGACTCTGTTGTGGAAAAATAGTGGCATCTGTTTTGAGGGGGATTTCGTATTAGAGGGATTCCCAATTGTTCCAAGCACAAATGGGGCATAATGAAAGGAACATGAGTGCTCCTCCTCCTGTCGTGTCAGGAGTGACTCCTGGTGTGAGAGAATTGGCCGTCTGCAAGGACGTTGCCCAGAGAACGCTTGGATGATTTGATGTTTTTATCATCCTTGTGGGAGGCTTCTCTCATGTCCCCGCATGAGGAGCTGGAGCTGATAGAGGGAGCTCGTCCACCTCTCCCCGGATTCGAACCTGCAACCTGTCGGTCTTCAGTCCTGCCGGCACAAGGGTTTAACCCACTGCGCCACCGGGGGCTCCAACATGAGTGCTGCCAAGATTATTCTTAATTTGCTTTATGTACTTGCTTGCATTAACTATGGATAGGTTACACAACCTGGGGATCACAACCAGACACAGTGAAGACATCTACCCTTGCGCTATGCTACTCTGCTGCTGAGTATGCATGCTCAGTGTGGAACACATCTCACCACGCTAAAACAGTGGATGTGGCTCTACCCGACCTACAAGAAGCACTGCCTGACTAACAAGCAAAAAGTGGGTGCTAGAAACAATATCATATGAAAGCTGACTGGCACAACCTGGGGATCACAACCAGACACAGTGAAGACATCTGGTTCTTAATGAGACATGCCACATTATCACGGGGTGTCTGCGCCCTACACCACTGGAGAAATTACACTGCTTAGCCGGTATTGCACCACCTGACATCCGCCGGGAAGTAGCAGCCAACAGTGCAAGGACCAAGGCAGAGACATCTCCAGCTCATCCCTTGTTTGGGATGAGCCAGCACATCAACGACTTAAATCAAGAAACAGTTAACAGTTTTCTAAGATCTACAGAGACACTCACTGGAACACCTCAGCAAGTGAAAGTCCAAAAGTGGTAGGCTCAAACCCAGAACCTTAATCAGTGGTTGAGACCAAATGAGAGACTCCCCCCCTGGGCACACAGAAAACTTGGAAGGCACTGAACAGACTGCGCTCTGGCACCACGAGATGCAGAGCCAATCTTAAGAAATGGGGCCACAAAGTGGAATCCACGACATGCGAGTGCGGAGAAGAGCAAACCACTGACCACCTGCTGCAATGCAACCTGAGCCCTGCCACATGCACAATGGAGGACATCCTTATAGTAACACCAGAGGCACTCCAAGTGGCCAGACATTTAATCAACTACCAAGCTTGCAAACTCTGTGTTTTGTCTGTCTGTTTGTTTTGAAAAAATGTAATACAACTATCTGGTTGCTCCTGACACGATAAATAAATAAATAACTTTCTTTCCAGTACTTTCTTTCCCCATCACTGCTCCAAAAATCTCCTACCTTGACTGGTTTTCCCACAGCCTTTTCCTTTCCTTTATTCCTTGTCCATCTGTATTGACATGGAGACACCCTGCTGCCACCTGGAAAGGGGAGAAGAACAATATAAAGGGAGAATGTTTCAGAAAGACTCCTCTTCTTGAAAGCAGGTGCTCTTATGATTGGAGTGAACACTTCTACCTCGCCTGTCTGGGTTTCTGGACTCTACTTTATCACAAGCACCCTATGAACTTTTAGTTATACAAAAGGCTCCCTTGTGTGACTGTTTACTAGCAATGTTTCGGCTTCTCCCAGATCCCTAGTGATCTAGGATGCAGGCCTCCTCTTCCTCTTCTTGCTTTATTGTAACATCAGGAAATCCTGAATTAAGAGGGAAAGGGAAATCATCAGCAGAGCTGCAGAATTTCCACCAGCCAACGAGCTGGAGCAAACAAACTGCCAAACATCTTGACTCTGTGACAGAAAAGGTGTCTCTCCTGACTTGTTAATGTTTTGAAACATTTTTAATGTAAGTAGACGTTGCTTCTGCCAACCTAAAAGTTCAAAAACATGCAAATGTGATTAGATTAATAGATACCGCTCCAGGAGGAATTAAATTTGAAAGAAATTAAAAACCTGGATGTTCTGTTGTGCCTTTGATTAGGCAGTTCACCCTGGAACCATATCCTGCCCCTACTTTAAGTTCTGCGCTTTATTTCGGCCCTTTTAATTTATTAATTAATTTATTTATTTGCTGCATTTGTTGACCGCCGCTCTCAGCCCTAGGGCGACTCGCGGCGGTGTACAACATATAAAAACAGTTTACAATAAGGCACAACAAGAAATCAACATATCAATAATACACACTAATCTAAATTACACTAGCTAATCCGCATCGTCACAACATAGAATCATAACCAATCTCGTAATCCGTATACCGTTCCAGTTGTCCTTACCAGTCAATGTAGCACTCAGTTAAATGCCTTCTCAAATAGCCAGGTCCAAAAGTGGCAGGCTCAAACCCAGAACCTTAATCAGTGGTTGAGACCAAATGAGAGACTCCCCCCCTGGGCACACAGAAAACTTGGAAGGCACTGAACAGACTGCGCTCTGGCACCACGAGATGCAGAGCCAATCTTAAGAAATGGGGCCACTGACATTCCAGCGGCCCCTTGCAATATCAATATTGCAAGTACTGATAACGCTGTGATGTATCTACAGGGAGCACACCAACCCCCTGCTACATCAACTCCACTGGCTGCCAGTCCATTTCCGAGCACAATTTATTTATTATTTTATTTACTTTATTTGTATACCACTGTTCTCAGCCCTTAGGCGACTCACAGCGGTTAACAACAAGAACAGCAAAAGCAGAAGCTAGGGCTGACAGCAGAAGCTCACGCCGCTCCCCGGAATCGAACCTGCGACCTTTCGATCAACAAGCTCAGCAGCTCAGTGCTTTAACCCACTGCGCCACCGGGGCAAAACAGTTAACATCATGGCAACAGAGAGATGGTCAACTCCTCGACACCGCCACCTTCCTTCCATCCCAATTCAAAGTGCTGGTCTTGGCCTATAAAGCCCTATATGGCTCCAGCCCAACTTTCTTGTCCGAACATATCTCCCTCTAGTTTAAGATCCACTGGGGAGGCCCTGCTCTCAGTCCCAATAGCCTCACAAACGCATCTGGTGGGGACGAGGGACAGAGCCTTCTTGGTGGTGACCCCCCACTTGTGGAATTCGCTCCCCAGTGAGGTTAGATCGCCGCTTTCCCTCCTTTCCTTCAGGAAAAAAATTGAAATCATGGTTTTCGAACCAGGCCTGTTGGCTAGCAGGCATAACAGCACTTTGGACATTGAACTGGACCATATGATTGTTATAATAATGGAAACGGCTATATGGTTGTATAATTAATGTTATTGTTTTTAATCTATTGTGTATTTATGTTTTTATATTGTTGTTATATTGTGATATTTATGGCATTTAATTGTTGCCTGTGTTAGCCGCTCTGAGTCCCCACTCGAGGGTTGAGAAGGGCGGGGGAGAAATGTTGTAAATAAATAAATAAATAAATAAATAAATAAATAAATATGTATTGTCAAAGGCTTTCATGGCTGGAATCACTAGGTTCTTGTGGGTTTTTTTCAGGCTATAGGGCCATGTTCTATTTATTTATTTATTTGCTTTATTTCTATACCGCATATTTCAGCCCAGACAGGCGACTCTATGCGGTCCTCACTACCTCTGAGGATGCTTGCCATAGATGCAGGCGAAACGTCAGGAGAAATGCCTCTAGAACATGGCCCTATAGCCCGAAAAAACCCACAAGAACCTAAATAAATAAATATCCTGATTATATGCTAATCAAGTTGGTCAGTTGAAACATTCACACCTAGCTCCAGCAGACAAGAGTCCTTTGTCTCACTCTGGTCATTCCACAGATATATAAACCCTTTTACCTAGTTCTAACAAACCTCACTACCTCTGAGGATGCTTTCCATAGATGCAGGCGAAACCTCAGGAGAGAATGCCTCTAGACCATGGCCATATAGCCCGAAAAAACCTACAACAACCCAATAAATATCCTGCTTTATGATGCTCTAAATCAGGGGTCCTCAAACTAAGGCCCGGGGGCCGGACACAGCCCTCCAAGGTCATTTACCCGGCCCTCGCTCAAGGTCAACCTAAGTCTGAAATGACTTGAAAGCACACAACAACAACAACAACAACAACAACAACCCTACTTCATCTGTCAAAAGCAGACCCACACTTCCCATTGAAATACTGATATATTTATATTTATTAAAAATGGTCTTCATTTTAATTATTGTATTGCTTTAAAGTGTTTTTTGCACTACAAATAAAATATGTGCAGTGTGAATAGGAATTCATTCTATTTTGGAGATGACATTTGATTACTGGCTGATTTATAAATACATGGTGAAGGAAATTATACTTGTTCAGGCCTTGGTGGTGGGGTTATGTGTTTGTAAAATGTTCACTGTTTTGTGTTTTGTCTATTCTGTAAGTTGTTATTTTATGTAAATAAAATCTTTAAAAAAATAGGAATTCATTCATGTTTTTTTTTCTTTCAAATTATAATCCGACCCTCCAACAGTTTGAGGGATTGTGACCTGGCCCTCTGTTTAAAAAGTTTGAGGACCCCTGCTCTAAATGTACATTAAATTGATTATTATTATTATTATTATTATTTGTATTTATAGCCCGCTTTATCTCTCCCGAAGGAGAGATTAACATACAATTTAAACAGAATTAAATAAAAAAGAATTTCAAAAATACACAATTGAAATCAATTAAAATCAAGAGGCCCTCTCACCATCTTTAACTACCATTCCACTGGATCCTGAGTGGGAGGGGGCCATTCTACCAACCATGTACTCTCCAGAAGCCGGTTAGAGACTCTCCATCCATATTTAACTACAATTCCAGCAGCCACTGAGAGGTAGGGAGTTAGCTTACCAACCAGGTACTCTCCAGCAGCCGTTTAGAGACCCTCCCTCCACCTTTAACTGCCATTCCACCGACCGGTGAGAGGGAGGGGGCCATTCTACCAACCAGGTACTCTCCTGCAGCCATTTAGAGACCCTCCCTCCATCTTTAACTGCCATTCCACTGGCCTCTGAATGGGAGGGGGCCAGTCTACCAATGAGATACTCTGAAGGGAAACATCTAAATGCTATGTAAACAAGGATGAAAAAATGATCCCTTATGATATATAGATCAAATGTCATGGAGAGGCCACTGACAGACCATACTTCACCTGAGTTGGTGCTTGGGGAGGCCTCAGATACCCACAGGTAGCAGGATTTTTCTGCTGGTTCTAGCTTGACTTTCACATTGGAAGGCCCTAGTCAGGAGAACAGGGTAAGAAAGTAGGGTTAAGAAAGATATGCTGACTTTCTAACACAGAGCAAAAGGAAAGGATCTCATTTATTCATTTAACTTGGGAGAAATTATATCCCCAAGTTATTCATTTGAGAGTTCCCCACACTCAGACTTGCAATGACACGTAAGGAAAAGGGTGTGTGTGCTGGTACGGCTGTACCAGGAGCTCCAACTTTATTTTCTTTCTGTTATCTGTTTGCAGTCATAGGGCAGGCCTCCTGTCCATCATAATTAAGCTTTGGTTCCGCCCCTTGTTCAGGGCTCTGGGAGGGAAAGGAGCCATTTTTTGGGCAGTCTCTCATAAGGAAGTTAAATTATAGGATGTAGACCAGCTCGTCCCATAGAAAAGCTTCTTTTCTCAAGAACATCTGGGGAAACAGAAACAGAAATTCCAGGGAAAAGGTCCCAAGGCTCTGGCTGAGAGCTCACAGCATCTCAGCCTCACGGCAATCAGAGGAAAAATAGCCATGAAGTTTTCAAAGAATTCTCTGAGGGAGGACAGCACTACAGATCCACGGAACTCTAGCTGAAATATATTCAAGCCTCAGCTGATAGGTCTACTCAATACCCAGACGCATTTGGAATCAGTAGTAGGACCCACACCGATAAGGCATAGATAGTAAACAGCCTGGGAGAGGTTAAATAGGATTTTTCGTACAGAGAAGGTTCAGTTAATTAAAGTCAGGTACCAGCCCATTGAGGACTAGACTAAGAAAGCCTTGAAGTGTTGCTTGAACCATTGAAGATTTGTTGTTTATTCCATAATAAAGACTTTGTTATATAATTAAAGACTCTAAAGACCATCACTTCAGAAAAAGCCCTGAGAACCTCTCTTTGAGGCGTCCTGGCTTCCTGTTGGGCTTAGAGTATACGTCCTATAGAAAGACAGCTGGTACAAGCCCAGCGCGCGACAAAACAGGGTGGCAGTTAAAAACAGATCAATAAAAGAAATATGGCTTCATCTATGCCCTTTGTTTAAAAATCTCTTTAAAAACCCAAACATGGCACCTGAAATGTGGATAATAGCAAATCGTAATTAAACAAAAGCCCAAGAGTACTACAGAGTCACACTGGAGGACCTAGAAAATGCCGAAAGAGGGCATATTTTGTTGGACATAGATAAATGAAGCCATGGACAGTGGTTCCATGCATTTGGAGGTTATATTCATTTATTTATTTATGACATTTATATGCCGCCCTTCTCACCCCGAAGGGAACTCAGAGCGGCTTACAAAATATATATATATATACAATTTATTATTTCATTAGCATAGCACAATATCAGTATTATATATTACTATATTGTATAACATCATTATACTGTAATATTCTTAGTAATGTTACATGTAATATAAAATCTATATAAATAAAAATGTAATGTTCGTTTGTGGGATTAACAGAACTCAAAAACCACTGGACGAATTGACACTAAATTTGGACACAAGATACCTAACAACCCAATGTATGTCCTTCACGCAAAAAAAAAATGGATTTTGTCATTTAGGAGTTGTAGTTGCTGGGATTTATAGTTCACCTACAATCAAAGAGCATTCTGAACCCCACCAACGATGGAATTGAACCAAAGTTGGCACACAGTTCTCCCATGACCAACAGAAAATACTGGATGGGTTTGGTGGGCATTGACCTTGAGTTTTGGAGTTGCACTTTACCTACATCCAGAGAGCACTGTGCAAACAATGATGGATCTGGACCTAACTTGGCATGAATAGTCAATATGCCCATATATGAACACAGATGGAGTTTGGGGGAAATAGACCTTGACATTTAGGAGTTGTCGTTACTGGGATTTATAGTTCACCTACAACCAAAGAGCATTCTGAACCCCACAAACGATAGAATTGGGGCAAACTTCCCAACAAGTGACCATCATTCATAAAAACACTGAAAAATATAGCAAAAGAGACTTAAAAAGCCAAAAAACAAAAAATACATTACAATGAATGCTCAAAGCCACATACATATATACACAAATACACATATACACAAATATATATACACACAAAACACATATACACAGACTGGGCCACAGCAACGTGTGGCAGGGGATGGCTAGTATATAATAAAAATATTATATAATTATAATATTGTATTATTATTAGTATTAGTATTAGTATTATATTGTATAACACAATTATACTGCAGGCTATTCATGGAACTTACATTTTTGTTCTCTCACCTGTGTGGGGTTGTGATGTTGCCCACATTTTCTCCAAGACAAGGCAATCTGGAAACCAAGGGTCTTGCTCAAGCCTGGAGATCAGATCAGGCTTGGCAAGTGGAAATTCTGCAGAGAAAGAGACACAATGTGGGGCTTAGGATCTGAAGTATTGAAGTGTGTGTTTGACTGAATAAAGCAATATACATTTTTCTATCCTCACACAGACAGATATAAGTTGCGAGAAATGACTTGAAGACACACAAGAATTGAGTTTCTGGGGTGGCTGTTGGGATGGAGGAAAGTATTTTTCTTTGTATAGTTTCACACATTTGGGGATTCGACATGATATGGGGGCACTTTCCAAAGGTTTGGGGGGGGGGGTGGGCTTCAATGGCTGTGTTCAATCTACAAACCATGCTACACCTACTTCCACTCTATATTTACAGTTAGGGAGCATGTTGTGTCACAACACAGGTACGCTCGCTAGGTTCACCAATGGCCACAAGGTATTCCTGGCTCCATAAAAACCACTGAAGTAGATTTAATTTCTGCTGCTCGAGAGAGCACGAGGCAGCAGATTCAAACTACAGGAAAAGAGATTCGACCTGAATATTAGGAGGAACTTTCTGATGGTAAGAGCTGTTCAACAGTGCAACACACTGCCTGGTGGAGTCTTCTTCTCTGAAGGTTTTTCAGCAGAGGCTGGATGGCCATCTGCAAGGAGAGCTTTTGTTTAGCAGGTGGTTAGATTGGATAGCCGGTGGGCTCTGTGTGCCAATAACAACAATAATAATGAAGTTATTACCTGCATCTCACTTTTCATGAGAAATGACTTGAAGACACACAAGAATGAGTTTCTGGGGTGGATGTTGGGATGGAGGAGAGTAGTTTTCTTTGCATAGTTTCACACATTTGGGGGTTTGACATGATATGGGGGCACTTTCCAAAGGTTTTGGGGGGGCTTCAATGGCTGCATTCAATCTACAAACTATGCTACATCTACTTCTGCTTTATAGTTTCCAGTTAGGGGGCATGTTGTGGGGCTACCAAAATGGCCTTGGTTGTCAACATAGTTCTCACTCCTGTGTTAAGCCTTTCTTCTAGGCATTCTGCATAGAGTTGGCTAGTCACTGTGAATCCTAAACTGCTTTTTTGAATGTCTTTTCAAGACTACGTGGCCCTTCTTGGGTTTTGAAACACCCAAAGCCACATCTGACATTGAGAGAACCACCCTGTCTTTTTAAAACACCCATACAGCAAACTTAACTTAAGGGAAAGAGGAAATTAATGTTGGGTTTCTGTGAGTTTTCCGGGCTGTTTGACCATATTCCAGAAGCATTTTCTCCTGACATTTCGCCCACATCTAAGGCAGGCATCCTCAGAGGTTGTGAGGTCTGTGGGAAAGTAGGCAAGTGGGGTTTATATATCTGTGGAATGATGTCCAGGGTGGGAGAAAGAACTCTTGTCTGTTTGAAGCAGGTATGACTGTTGAAATTATTATTATTATTATTATTATTATTATTATTATTATTATTATTATTATTATGATCATCATCTTTATTTGTACCCCCACTAACATCTCCTGAAGGACTCGGTGTGGCTTACAAAGGCCAAGGCCCTCAATAATACAACGGCATAACAAATACAACAATAAAAACTCAAAAAAGCAAACCACTAAACATTACAGCAGTAAACAGTAAACATTAAACAATAACATCATAACACATTTAAAAACAAATTAATGCTGCCAGAAGAGGGACAAGGGATAGTTACCCAAGGAGGCCACATTGTCGTAATTTTCTCGCATGACTTCCCAGTACAAAGCTCTCTGATTCTGGTCCAGCAGAGCCCACTGCTGCTTTGTGAAAAACACAGCCACATCCCAAAAAGTCACAACGCTCTGGAAAAGAAAAAGAAGGGAAGTTGTCCAAAGCTCTCAAAATAGCCTACCTCATATCAATGGTCCCTAAAGGATGACCCAACACAGCAATGGCTGAAAGGAGGTCGTTGCGAGTAGAAATGTGAGGACCTGGGGGATGCACCCCCCCAATAAAAACAGAAAAAGCTTTTAGCATCAGTAAAACGAAGAGAAATATTTTGCCTTTGTGAAGTTTTCCATAGTGCCAGACAGACTTAAAACACTCGTTCCTGCTTAAGCGGCTGAGAGGGAAAAGGAAAGGGCCTGAGGCTGTAAGGAATTGTGGGAGTTGAAGTCCAAAACACCTGGAGGGACCAAGATTGCCCACACTTGGTACAAATACACCCAAAGTGACTAAAAGAGGATTGTGTTCAACATCCCAGTCAGTAAAGGCCTTGTGGTAAACGCTGTCTCCATTCCTATACCTGTGGCAATTCTGTGCCATCCATTCCTGTTCTTCCAGAAAGAAACTGGCCACCCAGTGGCAACCTTTGTGATGTTGTTGTAAGTTGAAGACTGGATATTGTAGGAGGCTTCAATCAAGGTTGGAAGATAGAAACTCTGTGATCTGAAAAAGGTAGAACAAAATTTGCAGATTGTGGTCAACATGATGAAGCTTGTTTTTCTAGGAGACAAGAAAATCATACAGAAGAGTGAAATACTCCAGTAGCGACAGCTTTATTTACAACTTGTGTGTGTGTATGTAGGGGGTTATATTAACAGATTAGAGAGATGGACCAAAACTCACAAAATGAAGTTCAATAGGGACAAATGCAAGATACTCCACTTAGGCTGAAGAAAAAAATGAAAGGCAAAGAGACAGAATGGGGGACGAAGCCTGGCTCAACAGAAGCAGGTGTGAAAAAGATCTTGGCGTCCTCGTGGACAAGTTAAACAAGAGCCAACTATATCATGTGGCAGCTAAAAAAGCCAATGGAATGTTGGCCTGCTCTTGTTACATCCCAGATAGATTACTGCAACGCACTCTACGTGGGGTTGCCTTTGAAGACTGTTCTGAAACTTCAATTAGTCCAGCGGGAGGCAGCCAGATTGCTCACCGGAGCGTCATACAGGGAGCATACCACCCCGCTGTTGTGTCAGCTCCACTGGCTGCCGATCCAGTTCAGAGCACAATTCAAAGTGCTGGTTTTGATCTACAAAACCCTATATGGTTCCAGCCCAGCGTATCTGTCCAAACGCATTGCTCTCTACGTCCCACCTCGGAGTTTAAGATCCTCTGGGGAGGCCCTGCTCTCGGCCCCGCCTCTATCACAAGTGAGGTTGGCGGGGACGAGGAGCAGGGCCTTCTCAGTGGTGGCCCCCCACCTATGGAATTCACTCCCCGGGGAAATTAGATCAGCGACATCCCTCCTTTCCTTTAGAAGGAAATTAAAAACATGGATGTGGGACCAGGCGTTTGGGCAATCTGGCAGATAAATAAAGGACTGCGACGACGGATAGGAATAGACAATGTGGAACGAAGTATGGACTCTGAGTTGGCGAACGCTGTGCATGAGATTGGCTTTTGACTGTGATATATATATATATATATATATATAGGAATTGTGGGAGTTGGAGTCCAAAACACCTGGAGGGACGGCCCAAGTTGACTCAGGCCTGATCTATATTGTTGAATAAAGAACTTGCAAACACAGACAAGGAACTGCTGCCACAGATATATAAACCCATTGTCCTATTTCCAACAGACCTCACTACCTCTGAGGATGCTTGCCATAGATGCAGGCGAAACGTCAGGAGAGAATGCCTCTAGAACATGGCCATATAGCCCGAAAAAACCTACAAGAACCTAGTGATTCCAGCCATGAAAGCCTTCGACAATACCAGAGTTCCTATGTTGCTATGCTATTTACAAGATAAACTGGGGAAGTCACACTCTCTCAGCCCACTGCAAAAGGTTATCCAGTTCAATACACAATCAAAGCACTCCTGACAGATGGCCATCCAGCCTCCTTGGAGTCAATGTTGCCCAGACAAGCCTAGGAAATTACTTAACAGGGCACTTGGGCCTTCCCTCCAGGTGTTTTGGACTCCAACTCCCACAATTCCTAACAGCCTACCGGCTGTTAGGAATTGTGGGAGTTGGAGTCCAAAACACCTGGAGGGAAGGCCCAAGTTGACTCAGAACTGATCTATATTGTTGAATTAATGCAGTTTAAAATCACCAAATGCATTTCCACAGTCATGGCAAACATACCAGAGTTCCTCTACCTTTCCTCAGGAAGAGCTTGAACAACAGGACCTCTTCCTTGATTTGGAAACGCCCACCGGAAGGGCACTTTTTCTAAGACGCACACCAACTCTCTTCCGGTCCATCCGCGCCCGTCGCTGATTGGCCAGCCGGCCTTGTTTTTTCCCCCTTACACTTAGCAGACTGAGCCAATCAGCTCTCAGCAATACAGGGCGGGACCTGGCTGCTGATTGGGCGGCGTGTCAGAAGACTGGCAGCTCTTTCATCCTATCTTTGCATTGCATTCTTGCACACAGGGTATTGATAGTTTTGTATGATGTAAACTACAAGAACTACATCTACATCTGTCAGGGGTGCTTTGAATGCAATATTCCTGCTTCTTAGAATCATAAAATCACAGAATCATAGTTTGAAGAGACCTCCTGGGCCATCCAGTCCAACCCCATTCTGCCAAGAAGCAGGAATATTGCATTCAAATCACCCCTGACAGATGGCCATCCAGCCTCTGTTAAAAGCTTCCAAAGAAGGAGCCTCCACCACACTCTGGGGCAGAGAGTTCCACTGCTGAACGGCTCTCACAGTCAGGAAGTTCTTCCTCATGTTCAGATGGAATCTCCTCTCTTGTAGTTTGAAGCCATTGTTCCATGTCCTAGTCTCCAAGGAAGCAGAAAACAAGCTTGCTCCCTCCTCCCTGTGGCTTCCTCTCACATATTTATACATGGCTATCATATCTCCTCTCAGCCTTCTCTTCTTCAGGCTAAACATGCCCAGTTCCCTAAGCCGCTCCTCATAGGGCTTGTTCTGCAGGCTAGTCTCCAGGAAGCAGAAAACAAGCTTGCTCCCTCCTCCCTATATGACTTCCCCTACATATTTATACATGGCTATCATGCCTCCTCGCAGTCTTTCTCTCTTGCAGGCTAAACATGCCCAGCTCTTTAAGCCCTCTCATAGGGCTTGTTCTCCAGAACCTTGATAATTTTAGTCGCCCTCCTCTGGACACATTCCAGCTTGTCAATATCTGTCTTGGCAGAATGGGGTTGGACTGGATGGCCCATGAGGTCTCTTCCAACTCTAGGATTCTATGTTTCTGTCTCTGTAAAGCTGTGAATTGTAATTGTCAATTTTGGAGAGGTTGTTGAGTGCTTTTGCCAAATAATAATAATAGAATAAGAACTTAATTATAATTTAATAATAATACTAATGGGTAATAATATTATACAGGACTGTTGTGTATTTCGAGGTTGATTTATGGTGATAATAAAGACCATCAATTTTGGAGAGAATGTGGGATGCTTCTGCTAAATGATGATGATAATAATAATAATAATAATTTAGTAATAAAAGTAATAATTTATAATAATATTACTTACTTACTTACTTAGGCGATCCCTCGTTGGACGAGTAAGATGGTCTTCCATTATGGGTTTCCTTGTGGGTCTGTATGTGGCTGTGGAGCCCTATTCTTGCTCTGCATCTTCTTCCGCAGTGAGGGCATTGGTTTCCAGGTGAAAGGCGGTCCCGATTGGGGTTGGCTTGACGCGCCTTCCTCTTGGCACGCTTCTCCCTTTCGCCCTCCATTTGTGCCTCCTCAAATTCTGCAGCACTGCTGGTCACAGCTGACCTCCAGCTGGAGTGCTCAAGGGCCAGGGCTTCCCAGTTCTCAGTGTCTATGCCAGAGTTTTTAAGGTTGGCTTTGAGCCTGTCTTTAAATCTCTTTTCCTGTCCTCCAACATTCCGTTTTCCGTTCCTGAGTTCGGAGGAGAGCAACTGCTTTGGGAGACGGTGGTTGGGCATCCGGACAATGTGGCTGGTCCAGCGGAGTTGATGGCGGAGGAGCATTGCTTCAATGCTGGTGGTCTTTGCTTCTTCCAGCGTGCTGACGTTTGTCCGCTTGTCTTCCCAAGAGATTTGCAGGATTTTCCGGAAGCAGCGCTGATGGAATCGTTCCAGGAGTTGCATGGTACCTTATTTTCCTACTTGACAGATGCAACTGTCTTTCAGGTTGCAAAGGTCGACAACAGGCTACACACAATTGGTTGGAAACCCACTCCAACCTGGGCTGGCTTCAAACTCATTACCTTTTTTTGGGTCAGAGTGATCTTAATGCAGCTGACACTCAGCCTGCTGTGCCACAATCCCTTGTTGAGAGGTGATTAGCTGTCCCTGATTGTTTCCTGTCTGGAGTTCCCCTGTGTTTGAGTGTTGTTTTACTGTTATAATTTTAGAGTTTGTTTAATACTTGTAGCAAGATTTTGTTCATTTTCATGACTTTTTCCTTTCCTTTGAAGTTGTCCACATGCTGGTGGATTTCAATGGCTTCTCTGTGTAGGCTGTTGTTAGAGTGGTACAGCATTTCTGTATTCTCAAATGATATGCTGTGTGCAAGTCAGGTTATCAGGTGCTCTACTATGGCTGACTTCAGTGGTCTGCAGTGCCTTTCATGTTCTTTGATTGGTGCCTGGGCAATGCTGCTGCGTTTGGTAGTCCCTATGCAGACTTGTCCACAGCTGCATTGTATACGGTAGACTCCTGCAGAAGCGAGAGGATCCCTCTTGTCCTTTGTGGAGGACCGATTAAGAAGGTTTGCCCCAGGAGGCTTATGGATCCTGATGGATTCCTGATGGCTCTTTGGGATTTTCCTGCCACTTCATTAGAGGATTCAGTCAAACCTCTGGCAAACCTCTATAACACTGAGGTGTTCAGGGCAGTTGACACAATCACTCCCAAACTTCTTTCACAACACAGAACTCAATCAGCTCTCTGTTACAACAAGGAACTAGAGGCGATGAAACATGTAAAACACAATCTAGAGCAGTGTTAATGATATCGAGCTCTTTTGGGGGGCTTCTCCCAGTGAAGGAGATCCCTGGAGACCGCTAAAGGGGTCCCTGACCTTGGTGAGCGGCCAGCAGGAGCCAATCCAAAGCGCGAAGTATTAGCAATCAATCTCACCAGAGGCTGAAGAGGTACCAGCGACCGAAGCGTTTATTTCTGCGATTCAGCTGAAAAGGATGCGTTACAGGGATATTTCCACCATAAGCATACATTCATAGGAGTTACAGGCATTTTTATATTGTCAGAACAAAGGAAAAACAGTTTGAAAATCCCGCCCACCCTCCGTCAGCTGGCTCCGTCCTGATTGGCTGTCCCTGGAACAGCTGGGAGGAGGCCGGGCCGTATGTCCCGCCTTCCCTCCAATCGCCGGGCGCTGTTGCCTCCAGGGGGCCAATCGGAGCCTTTCTAGCGCTTCTGAGGATGGTCCAATCAGCGACCAGGAGGTGGGACCTGGTTTGACAGCTCATAGGGGGCGGAGTGCCTGGGAGGTGTCCGCCAGCCGATTGAGAACTTTTGTTCTAAGCTGTGGGGTGGCAGACGGAAGAAACAAAGAGCTTCCTGATTCCTTGATTGGGGATGTGTAGAGACATGAAAAGGGGCTGTTGATGACATTTGGATCTCGGACTCTGTAAACAAGGAGACCCTTGAACACAAAGGAGCTGCACAAATGCCATGGGTTGGGTTAATCAATCCTTCTTTCCAGGTTTCGGTTGACTTATCTCTGGCCCATTGTCTGAACTCTGAAAATGTGCCCGGAGATAGGATCAACCCCGGCCCATGCAAAATGTTAATATGAATGGATTTACTTTTGAGGAAATGAGGTTTCCTCCTGACAATAACCTCAGGTCACATTCTTTTCTGGGGCAAGGTTCAGAGGGAGGAAAGGTGGGAGGGGGAGAGAGTCAGGGTGCATCTTATGTGATAGATATCAATTATAAACATTTTCTCATGCTTCATACATTTCATACATTTCATTTCTGCCAGAATTATGATCTCCTTGGCGAAGGTGCACACGCAGGCGGAGGCTGTTCCTGCCCAGGGGCCTGGTTCGGAGTCCGTGGAGAAGGTCCAAGACGATGGGGCATCAAGTCAATAAGTAAAGGCAAAAGAATCTGTAAGGGGACTTCCAGGCGGAGGGGTGTGGGGCAATGTCCTTCGGAAAACTACATTTCCCTGATCAAGGGCCAGGGTCCAGTGCACAAGCCAGAGAATTCACAAAGAAGAAACAGGAACCCAGTTATGTGTGCTGGGTCAGGAAGCAACAGAATCCATTGTCCGGCCCTTGGCGAACTACAAATACTTGAGGGGGGGGGGAAAAGATGCTCCGCATCAATTCCTCCCTTCGAGGCTGGAAAATGGCCACGCTCATTTTCCCAAGCCTCGACAATTCTCTAGCACCCAGGGCCTCTTTCTAGACTGATTAGATTGTATTCTGTTGATTATTTTGGGGCCCAACTTAAGCAACAACAGCAGGACCCAGCAGGGTGGGAGAGACCAGCGGCAGTGTGTCCTTTGGGTTGGAGAAAGGAAAAAAAAAATAAGACTGAAGTAAGAAGGTGAAGACGGTGGAGGCAGGGGATGATGGAGTCTGTGATGGCAGTCAGCATGGAGCACTCAGGGGTCCCGAGTGAGTCCCCAATGGAGAAGGATGGCACATGGTGGAATTCTCCCATCTGGCAGTGGTCCTCAGGCCTCCTGGGGGCGCTGGCTCCTCCCTTGGTACTGAAACAAGGAGAGCAGCCGAAGAAGAAGAAGATGGGGCACAGCCTTGCTACTCCTTCTGGCGTGGCGCCTCCTGGTGACCGCAGACAGGTCCGGCTCTCCATCATCACAGAGACTCAGGGGTAGTGTCTAGGACAGTCAGAAAGAAGGTTTACAGCCCCCCCCACCCCCCCTTTCCCAGCCCAAGGGTAGTTAGTAGGGAAACAAAGGGAAAACTTTCATACCTAGTGAGGACTTCAGTGGTCTCCTTTGGGCCACTCCTCTGCACAGCTTCTGGAACGGGCAGGGCCTCCTTCCTTCATGGCAGTTGCTGTGGGATCCTGGTTGCTCCTCCTGCGATGGCATTCCCCCGTGGGGGCTCAGATCAGCCTCTAGGAGGGGCTGTCTCTTCTGGGCGGCATGGGGTCTGGTCCCGCTCTCCTAGGATCTTCCTGTGCCATCTGGGTTCCACACAGGAAAGTCCACAGACCTCCCATTGTTCACCTCACCCAGGTAGTTGTCCTCAGCGGCAGGAGTGGATTATGGGTCCCACAGTT